GATCAGATGCTCGATTACGTGGCAGTGTAGACCCAGAATGAGCAAGACCCTTTCTTTGCTTTGATAATCCAGATTATCAAAGGAAAGAATCCACATGATCCGCTTTGAACTGGATTATCTGAGTCTGAACTGCCATATAATCCTGATCAAGGCAAAGAATCCACATTATCTGCTTTGAACTGGATTATCAAAGTCTACACTGCCATATAATCCAGTTCAAAGCAGATAATCTGGATTTTATATGGCAGTGCAGACGGGGCCCGAGTTTCGCAGGGTCCTTTCCAAAGAATACACGGGCCTAGCCAGGCTACCAATCCCAGGACCCCGTAGGATTAAGCCCTAGAAGTTAAAGCGGTATCAAACTGGGTTCATTCAAAAGTGTAGCTGCATCCAAACTAATCTAGGGAAGGGTTTCCTCTCACCCGGAGCCTCGCTTCCCGCCTCCTTCATGGCGCCGGGCTCCATCCTCGCGCTTCCCGCTTTCGGAGGCTGCCTCACAAAGGGACGGCCTCCCGGAACGTTAAGGACCGCCCCCCTTTGCCGCACGGACAGCAATAAGGAACGCACCCATTGGAGGCTGCGGGGGAGGAAGATTTGTGTGACACCTGGGCTGAACTCTAGAGATAGGAAAGGGAAGAGTGAACGAGCTGAAGTTGATAACCACAACAATAATACAGTGATATTGCAAAAGTACTAATTGTTGGGTTTCAAAAGTCTTTGTTTCATCAAGATTCTAGTCCTCAATGAGTAGCTGGCCTAGAAACAGGGCCAAGCTCAGGGATTCCTTTCCCCCACAATCCTGTGAATGTTTTTAAAGGGCTTTGTCTTTACTGCGGGCCACTGCCTCCTCCCCACTTTGATGGCACAGTAATGGAATTCAGCAAGAGAACTGCCTTTTAAGTTTAAATTGCCCCAGGAAGGCTAGGCATCTGGAGTTTCGGGGTACGGTGTCATCTGTACGCAGATGCTGTCCAACTCTGTCACTCCTTCCCACCTGCTACTAAGGAGGCTGTTCAAGTCCTGAACCGGTGCTTGGCCGCTGTAACGGACTGGATGAGGGACAACAGATTGAAACTAAATCCAGACAAGACAGAGGTACTCCTGGTCAGTCGAAAGGCCGAACAGGGCATAGGGTTACAGCCTGTGCTTGACGGGGTTACACTCCCCCTGAAGGTGCAGGTTCGCAGCTTGGGAGTGATCCTGGACTCATCGCTGAGCCTGGAAACCCAGGTTTCGGCGGTGGTCAGGGGAGCTTTTGCACAATTAAAACTTGTGTGCCAGCTGCGCCCGTACCTTGGGAAGTCTGACTTGGCCACGGTGGTCCACGCTTTGGTTACATCCCGTTTAGACTACTGCAACGCTCTCTACGTGGGGTTGCCTCTGAAGACTGCTCGGAAGCTGCAGCTAGTCCAACGCTCGGCAGCCAGACTACTAACGGGTACAGGGAGCACACCACTCCGCTGTTACACCAGCTCCACTGGCTGCCAATTAGCTTCCGAGCACAATTCAAAGTGCTGGTGTTAGCCTATAAAGCCCTAAACGACTCCGGACCAGTTTACCTCTCCGAACGTATTCTCCCCTATGAACCATCAAGATTATTAAGATTGTCTGGAGAGGCCCTGCTCTCGGTCCCACCGGCCTCACAAGCGCGTCTGGTGGGGACGAGGGACAGGGCCTTCTCGGTGGTGGCCCCTCGACTCTGGAACTCTCTCCCACTGGAGATCAGAACCGCCCCGTCTATCCTGACATTTAGGAAACAGGTGAAGACTTGGTTATGGAGACAGGCATTCGACGAGTGAGCCAACACCCTGAGATATGGATGGAGGATGATGAACAACGATTTTAGTGTGACGACTGACCATTGTAGTTATTGAATGTAATTGCTGTTTTAATGTTTTACAGCAATATGAATTATGATGTTTTATTTACTGTATGTGATATTATGGTTGGAAACCGGTCTGAGTCCCTCAAGAGAGGTGAGAAGGTCGGTATACAAAACTTTTAAATAAATAAATAGACAGTCTCCACCATGTTACCTCCTCTTTTGTCTTTCTCCCAGTGAGGACGCATTTTGCCTCTCTGTAGGCAAAATGTAGCTGCATGGAATGAATTACTTTTTACCTTCTTTAGAAGATGAGATTTGGCAAGTTAGTTTACTCCAAGACTTTTCTGTCAAGAATGTATTTCTTTTTATTTTAATAAATCTCTTGAACCTCAACATTGTCTCTGCAATCCTTCTGCCATCCAAAAGGCTAAGAGGCTCTTCCTGCTCATCACACGTAAGTTTCTGCTGGCTATGGAATTTACTCCTGGTACTCTGCTATATTTTGGTGGCATTGCCCTTACTGAGGGTTATTTTGGAGCCTAACAGCTCAGATTCCCCAACCATAACAATACAATAACAATAATACAGAATTCCTAATAATACAGTAATAACACTACAATAGCAATAATACAGAAGTATAATACAGTAACAGCAATAACGCAGAATTCCTAATAATACATTAATAACACTACAATAGCAATAATACAGAATAGCAATACAGTAATAGCAGTAATACAGAAGTGCTAATAATACAGTAATAATACAGTAATAGCAATAATACAGAAGTACTAATAATACAGTAATAATACAGTAATAGCGATAATACATAAATAATAATAAGTAATAATACAGTAATAGTAATAATACAGAAGTAATAATAATACAGTAATAACTACAATAGCAATAATACAGTAATAGCAATAATACGTAAGTTAAAATAATACAGTAATAACACTACAATAGCAACAATACAGAAGTAATAGCAATAATACAGTAAAAGCAGTAATACAAAGTACTAATAATACAGCAATAACACTACAATAGTAATAATACAGAAGTACTAATAATACAGTAATAGCAATAATACAGAAGTACTAATAATACAATAATAATACAATAATAATACAGAAGTACTATTAATACAGTAATAACAGTACAATAGCAATAATACAGAAGCAATAATAATGCAATAATAGCAAAAAAAGAAGTAATAATAATACAGTAATAACACTACAATAGCAGCAATACAGAAGTAATAGCAATAATACAGTAATAGCAATAATACAGAAGTAATAATAATATAGAAGTAATAATAATGTAGTAATAATGCAGTAATAGCGATAATACAGAAGAAATAATAATACAATAATAAATAAAATCATATTGTGGCCAATGTTGGTCGATTCATGAATTCATGATCCGTCTAGCATCGTCATTGTCCTTTCCTACTCTGGTCGTCATTGTCTTTTGTCCATCTGCCAGCTTACCCGAAGGCCTGGTCCCACATCCAGGTTTTTAACTTCCTCCTGAAAGAGAGGAGGGATGTTGATGACCTAATCTCCCCAGGGAGTGCATTTCACAGGCGAGGGGCCACCACCGAGAAGGTCCTGTCCCTCGTCCCCACCAGTCTCACTTGTGATAAAGGTGGGGGCCGAGAGCAGGGCCTCCCCAGTAATAAAAAAGTAATAGCAATAATACAGATTATTATTATTATTATTAAACTTTATTTGTACCCCGCTAGCATCTCCCGAAGGACTCGATGCGGCTTACAAAGGCCAAGGCCTCAAAATGCAACATAACAATACAAAAACCTAAAGCAAATTAAAAACAATTAAAGCAATATTAAACAACAAGCAATAAATACAGAAGTAATAATAATATAGTAATAACACTACAATAGCAACAATACAGAAATAATAGCAATAATACAGAAGTATTAATAATACAGTAATAACACTACAATGATACAGAAGTAATAATAATACAGTATTACAATAACGATAAAGCAGAAGTAACAATAATACAGTAGTAATAATACAGAAGTATTAGTAACACAGCCATAACACTATTTATTTATTATTTATTTCACAGTTTTCTATACCGAGCTTCTCAACCTCATTGAGGGACTCAGCCCGGTTTCCAGCCATAAAAACATATACAGTCATTAAAATATCATATATCACAATTACAAAAACAGCTTTAAAATAACACTATGTATAAAACTACAGTGGTCAGTCGTCATATTAAAAACAGGTCTACATCATCTTCCATCCAGAGTCCTAGGGTGTTGTCTCATTCATCGAAGGCCTGACTCCACAGCCACGTCTTCACCCGTTTCCTAAATGTTAGGATGGATGGGGCGGTTCTGGCCTCCAGAGGGAGAGAGTTCCAGAGTCGCGGGGCCACCACCGAGAAGGCCCTGTCCCTCGTCCCCACCAGGCGCGCTTGCGAGGCCGGTGGGACCGAGAGCAGGGCCTCTCCAGACAATAATAGTACATTATTATTATTATTATTATTATTAATAATAATAGTATTAGTAACACAGCCATAACACTATTTATTTATTATTTATTTCACAGTTTTCTATACCGAGCTTCTCATTATTATTATTATAATTATTATAATTATGTATTGTCGAAGGCTTTCATGGCTGGAATCACTAGGTTCTTGTGGGTTTTTTTGGGCTATGTGGCCATGTTCTAGAGGCATTTCTCCTGACGTTTTGCCTGCATCTATGGCAAGCATCCTCAGAGGTAGTGAGGTCTGTTGGAATTAGGACAATGGGTTTATATATCTGTGGAATGGCTGGGGTGGGGCAAGGAGCTCTTCCCTGCTGCAGTTAGGTGTGAATGTTTAGCTGATCACCTTCATTAGCATTTGAAGGCCTGCCTGAGCCTGGGAAAATCTGTTGCTGGGAGGTGTTAATCTGTGCCTGGTTTTTTCCTCTCTGTTGTTTAGTTATTAATTATTATTATTATTATTATTAATAATAATAATAATAATAATAATAATAATAATAATAATAATACAACAACAATAACGCAGTGAGTCCAAATCTTGTTCATTGTTCCTTCTCTGTGCTACAATAATTGTGGGTGGTGGCCCTTTAAGACGCTGGCCAGCCACTCGACCGGAAGTGACGTCGCCGTCCTGGTGGGCGGGGCCTCTGCTGCCTGTTTGTTTTGGTGGCGTCGAGACCCGGAAGCGAGTGCGGCCTGCGTGTGGAGAGCGCGGCGATGGCGCCGGTGTCCCGCTCGCGGAGCCCTTCCTCGCCGCCGCGCAGCAGCCGAGCCCGGAGGTCGAGGTCGCGGTCCCGGTCGAGGTCCCGGCCGAGGCCTGGCCTCCCTCCGCGGGGCTTGTGGCACGGAGAGGCCGGCAAGGAGCAGGAGGAGGCGCTGCGGCAGAGGCCAGTCCGGGCAGGCCTTCCGGGGGGGATCAGGCCGCATCCTAGAATTATAGAATCCTAGAGTGGGAAGAGACCTCCTGGGCCATCATCCAGTCCAACCCCATTCTGCCAAGAAGCAGGAATATTGCATTCAAATCACCCCTGACAGATGGCCATCCAGCCTCTGTTTCAAAGCCTCCAAAGAAGGAGCCTCCACCACACTCCGGGGCAGAGAGTTCCACTGCTGAACACCTCTCACATAGAATCCTAGAGTTGGAAGAGACCTCATGGGCCATCATCCAGTCCACCCCCATTCTGCCAAGAAACAGGAAGATTGCATTCAAAGCACCCCCGACAGATGGCCATCCAGCCTCTGTTTAAAAGCTTCCAAAGAAGGAGTCTCCACCACACTCCGGGGCAGAGAGTTCCACTGCTGAACAGCTCTCACAGTCAGGAAGTTCTTCCTCTTCAGATGGAATCTCCTTTCTTGTAGTTTGAAGCCATTGTTCCGTGTCCTAGTCTTCAGGGCAGCAGAAAACAAGCTTGCTCCCTCCTCCCTGTGGCTTCCTCTCACATATTTATACATGGCTATCATATCTCCTCTCAGCCTTCTCTTCTTCAGGCTAAACATGCCCAGCTCCTTAAGCCGCTCCTCACAGGGCTTGTTCTCCAGACCCTATATAGCTGCTCAGTAAAATTTTTCATAGAATCAAAGAGTTGGAAGAGACCTCATGGGCCATCTAGTCCAACCCCATTCTGCCAAGAAGCAGGAATATTGCATTCAAATCACCCCTGACAGATGGCCATCCAGCCTCTGTTTCAAAGCTTCCAAAGAAGGAGCCTCCACCACACTCCAGGGCAGAGAGTTCCACTGCTGAACGGCTCTCCCAGTCAGGAAGTTCTTCCTCATGTTCAGGTGGAATCTCCTCTCTTGTAGTTTGAAGCCATTGTTCCACGTCCTAGTCTCCAAGGAAGCAGAAAACAAGCTTGCTCCTTCCTCCCTGTGGCTTCCTCTCACATATTTATACATGGCTATCATATCTCCTCTCAGCCTTCTCTTCTTCAGGCTAAACATGCCCAGCTCCTTAAGCCGCTCCTCATAGGGCTTGTTCTCCAGACCTTTTATCATTTTAGTTGCTCTCCTCTGGACACATTCCTGCTTGTCAATATCTCTCTTGAATTGTGGTGCCCAGACTCAGTCCTGTCAGACTCAGGCCCCTTCTACACTACCTATAATCCGGATTATCAGAGCGGATCATCCACAGGATCTGCCTGGAACCGGGGCCCCCTTCCACGCTGCCATATGTCATCCCGATTATCTGGTGTGAACTGGGTTATTTGGCAGTGCAGATATCAAGGCAAAGAATCCCACAGTATCCGCTTTGTACTGGGTTATCCGAGTCCACATTGCCATACCATCCAGCTCAATGTGGATTACATTGTGCTGTGTGGAAGGGGCCTCAGATAACCCAGTTCAAAGCAGATCATCTCGATTGTTTTCTAAGATCTACAGAGACACTCGCTGGAACGCCCCAGCAAGTGAGAGTCCAAAAGTGGCAGGCTCAAACCCAGAACCTCAACCAATGGCTGATATTTACTTTTATCTTTGTTTATATACCGCTTTTCTCAGCCCTCAGGCGACTCAAAGAGGTGAACAACATCCATACAAAACATCATGAGACAAGTTTTTTAAAAAACCTTCATTTATAAAAAAAAAAGTCTCAGTCATTAAATGTCAGAAATGTGGGTAATTCTGCCATTTTGGTAGTTCTCCAAACCTTTGCTGACTTTTATCAGATTTAATTATTATTAGTATTATAGTGGGGTTTTTTGGGGTTTTTTTGGTCATGTCAGAAGCAACTTGAGAAACTGCAAGTCACTTCTGGTGTGAGAGAATTGGCCGTCTGCAAGGACGTTGCCCAGGGGACGCCCAGATGATTTGATGTTTTTATCATCCTTGTGGAAGACTTCTCTCATGTCCCCGCATAAGGAGCTGGAGCTCATAGAGGGAGCTCACCCGCCTCTCCCCAGATTCGAACCTGCGACCTGTCTGTCTTCAGTCCTGCCAGCACAAGGGTTTAACCCACTGCGCCACCGGGGGCTCCGGTGTATTATATTATTATAGTGTAAAGTAGTAATAATAATAATAATAATAATAATAATAATAATAATAATAATAATAATACATTTTATTTATGGCCCATCTCTCCTGATAAGTCGAGGCAGAGACAATCTCTGTTCCCTGTATTGAATGTTTATGCAGGGAAATTGTGTTCTGAATTTTCATTATTTTTTCTCTTGCAGGCGATTAAATGAAAGGGAACGGATAGGTGAACTGGGAGCACCTGAAGTTTGGGGACTGTCGCCAAAAGTTCCTGAACCAGAGTAAATAATTTTAGTTTTAACTTTGTTTTTGCTTCCTTTTGCCAATCTCTTTGCCGCGATATAGAATATATATTCTCTGCTTCCTTATCCTGTATCTGCTTCTCTGGATTCTTTATCTGATTCTCCATCCAAAATATGGAGGAAGTTGGTTTGCAAAGAGTGCAAATTACATTATATACACAATTTTTGTTCCGGGGTTATAAATGTCCTTTCCTCATTGGGTCTATCATAAAAACATGGGAAAAGTGTATTCAACCGCACAAACTTTGTTTTTGTGGGATATCTTACAGCACATTTTTCTATAGTTTTTCAGTAAATATTCACTGAGTCTCAACCAATTCAACATAGTTTGTGGGACTGAAATTTCTGGAGTAGAACAACTACTTTCAAAGTATATCCTGCACAATTAAATAGGAAATGATACTTTCAAACCAGGAACAGAACATTTTTCAGATGTTATTACATAGTGTTATTAGACGTGGACAAGGTTGCGCACCTGTTTTGACCAACTAAAATGAGACTTTAGACCCTGGAATTTGTGTTAGTAATAGCTGTGCTAAGCATAAACACTTCTTTGATTTTGGCCACTTGAAAAAGTTTCCCAAACGTATACTACATGTGTTGTATTCTCAGAACGTTAAGACTGTTTGTGTTCTACCTTTGCTGTAGTTCTGATGAACATACCCCAGCAGAAGATGAAGATGGGACTTCGAAGAAGAGTAGCTCCTCGGATTCCAGCTCCGAAGGTATTGTGACTCAATCCATTGTTTGGGATTTATATTGGTAGCATTTCCACAGAACTGAATTGTCTCAGTATCGGGTACAGACTTCCTTAGTTCAGGAAAATAAGCTTATTTGCAGTAGTTTTTGAGATCATAACCTTTTGGAAAGTCACCTGTAAACTTTTAGGGAAACCGGAATCTCCATAGCCTTTTGGAAGCATGACCTTTTGGAGATTAATTGGCATTCACTACTGTATGGAAAAGCATAACCTTTTTGTAAAGTATGATCTTCCTGAGAAGAGCTAAAAACTCATTTGAGTAAATGTTTTCTTTAGTGGTATATATTCACTAGTATTCATGCAATACTTTTGATATGAAATAAATATAAATAAATAGTATTCATGCGAGGCAAATTGGGTTTCTCAGTTGTTAGACTGATATACCTCGTTATCTCTTTGAACTGTTAGGATCAAAGATTATGCCAATGCAAAACTATATTGTTGCAATGCAGAAACTGATTGTTAGTTGTTTAATTGCTGCTATATTGTTTTATTCTACTGTTTTGTTGATGCCGGCATCGAAATGTGCCTTTGTAAGCCACCCTGAGTCCCCTCCGGGGTGAGAAGGGCAGGGTAGAAAAAACCGAAATAAATAATAAATAAATAAAATATCGCAGATCTTCAGAAGTGTTATTTCAGTTGCCCAAAAACATCTACTCTCCCATAAAATATATTTGGAATCGATCCCCAGTGGCACAAGAGGTTAAACTGCTGAGCTGCTGAACCTGCTGACCAAAAGGTTGGTGGTTCGAATCCTGGGAGCAGGGTGATCTCCTGCTGTTAGCCCCAGCTTCTGCCAACCTAGCAGTTCAAAAACATGCAAATGTGAGTAGATCAATAGGTACTGCTTCTGCAGGAAGGTAACGGCGCTCCATCCAGTCATGCTGGCCACATAATTATTGATTTTTATCTTTTGTATCTTGTTGTATTTGTATATTGCTTTTGTGAGCCACCCCGAGTCCCTTTGGGGAGATGGTGGTGGGATACAAATAAAGTTTTATTATTTATATTATATTGCATATTTCTTATAGTAATTCAGTTTATTTGTTTCTGACTTGGGGACATTCCTCCATTTCTCAAGCATCTATAGGCAAATTGTTTTCAAGTGATGACTCCCATCCTTTTGCTCCATGGTTAAAACTTGTTCTTTGCCATATCTTTTCAGAGGAGGAGAAGAAGAAAAAGAAAAAGAAGAAGAAAAAGAAGCGAAAAGCTGCTTCACGTATGTGTGAACCTCATGTGTAGGCCTAATGTTCCAAGACCATGGAATGACCTGCCAGAAGAGATCCAAAGAGCTGAATGGGCTTTCAGAACTTAAAACACAACTGAAGACCGATCTCTTCCAGCAGGGATACCCAGTCCATTTGAACTATGGCTTTTAAAAAACCTTCTGTATTTATTATATTTTAACGTTTGTCTTGGGTATTTTAATATGTGGATGTTTTAGTATATGTTCTTATGGTTGCATTTTAACTATATTTTAATATTTGGTTTTATAGATGTATTTAACTGTGTTGTGCCTTGCCTCAAGCCAAAAGGAGAGATGAGTAAATAATAATAACAACAATAGCAACAACTTGGGAAGTGTCCGCTGTGATCCAATACCACAGCCAGCAGAGTGATCTTCTTTGCTGTGGACTCATCTTGTTGTGTTTCTAATAATAATAATAATAATAATAATAATAATAATAATAATAATAATAATTCATTGTAATATGTAGTTTTATAGATGTATTTAACTATGCCATGCCCCGCCTCAAGCCAAAAGGAGAGGCAGATACTAAACAACAACAATAATCTATATATATAAAAATGCTCTGTGCGTAATGAGTACCTTAAAAACAAAAGAACCAATGAACAAAATCACACCAAATTTGGCAACAAATGTCTCACAACACAAGGAGTGACCATCACTCAAAAAATTATGATTTTGTCGTTTGGAAGTTGTAGTTGCTGGGATTTATAGTTCACCAACAATTCAAGAGCATTCTGAACTCCACCAATGATGGAATTGAACCAAACGTGGCACACAGGACTTCCATGACCAACAGAAAACACTAGAAGGGTTTGGTGGGCATTGGCCTTGAGTTTGGGAGTTGTAGTTCACCTACAGCTAGAGAGCACTGTGGACTCAAACAATGATGGATCTGGACCAAGCTTGGCATGAATACTCAATATGCCCAAATATAAACACAGATTGAGTTTGGGGGAACTATACCTTGACTTTTGGGAGTTGTAGCTACTGGGATTTGTGGACTCAAACAATGATGGATCTGGACCAAACTTGGCATGAATACGCAATATGCCCAAATAAATACAGATGAAGTTGGGGGAAATAGACCTTGATATTTGGGAGTTGTAGTTACTGGGATTTATTGTTCACCTACAATCAAGGAGCATTCCGAACCCCACCAAAAATGAATTGGGCCAAACATCCCACACAAAACCCCCATGACCAACAGAAAATACTGTGTTTTCTGGTGGTCTTTGGTGACCCTTCTGACACCCCCTTGGTGACCCCCCCCCCCCCCAATATATTACATATATTAGAAACCAACACTCTCTCATTACTTTATTTTCCAGATCACCAGACTGAGCCACAGCAACACGTGGCAGGGGACCGCTAGTTTATTATATGTAGTTTTATAGATTTGCTTAGATTTATTTAACTATGCCATATCCCGCCTCAAGCCAAAAGGAGAGGCGGGTATTAAACAACAACAACAGCAACACAATAATAATTTATTATATGTGGTTTATAGATATATTTAACTATGCCACATCCTGCCTCAAGCCAAAATGAGAGGCAAGTATTAAATAACAACAACTATAATAACAATAATCAACATCTTTAAAGTTACTCGCCCAACGACGCACAATACTCACATCAACACAATCACCGTAAACAGCTTGCATTCTCTGATTAATCTCCTTTGGGGTGGCACCTTCTGCTGTCAAGAATTCAATGACTGCACGTTGCTTAAGTCGCATTGACCGACTGTCTGCGCAGGGTTCCATACTTCACACTTTAACAACACAACTGTTCAATGCTAAGGCTTCCCGCCAAAATGGAACTGTAGAGGAGAGTCTACTGAACAAGCCAGTACCTGCCACATACCAGTACTGCCATCTGTTGAGGAGTTATGAATGTGGAGGCATTACTTTTCATTCAGCCCTCGTAGCAGTAGTAGTAGTAGTAGTAGTAATAATAATAATAATAATAATAATAATAATAATAATAATAATAATTTTTATTATTGTGACTAACCATCTCTGTTGCTCTTGGGTATGCCATGCCTTTCCTCTGCTCAGTTTTTTGTTTATTTTCTGAAACTAAACATTTCAGGTGACGAGGAAAAGAAAAGAGCCAAGAAGAAGAAAAAGAAGCACAGAAAGTGAGAGAGAGATATTTTAATGTTCTTGTCTTTCTGCTTTGCCTTATTTATTTATTTATTTATGACATTTATATGCCGCCCTTCTCACCCTGAAGGGGACTCAGAGCGGCTTATAAGATATATTATATTATTAGCATAGTACAATATCAGTATTATATATTACTATATTGTACTATACCATTATATTGTAATATTATTAGTAATATTACATGTAATATAAATATATAATTATAATATATTATTAGTAGTATTATATTGCATTACATTATAATATTATAAATGTTATATGTATATACAATATATTACGTTACATTACATTGTATTGTATTGTCTATATATATAAAAATGTTCTGTGCGTAATGAGTACCTTAAAAACAAAAGAACCAATGAACGAAATCACACCAAATTTGGCAACAAAACATCTCACAACACAAGGAGTGACCATCACTCAAAAAATTATGATTTTGTCATTTGGGAGTTGTAGTTGCTGGGATTTATAGTTCACTTACAATCAAAGAGCATTCTGAACTCCACCAATGATGGAATTGAACCAAACTTGGCACACAGAACTCCCATGACCAACAGAAAATACTGGAAGGGTTTGGTGGGCATTGACCTTGAGTTTGAGAGTTGTAGTTCACCTACATCCAGAAGTGTGGACTCAAACAATGATGGATCTGGACCAAACTTGGCACAAGCACTCAATGCACCCAAATATGAACACAGATGGAGTTTGGGGAAAATAGACCTTGACATTTGGAAGTTGTAGTCACTGGGATTTATAGTTCATCGTCAATCAAAGAGCATTCTGAACCCCACGAACAACAGAATCGGGGCAAACGTCCCACACAGAACCCCCATGACCAATAGAAAATACTCAAGGCCATCCAATCCAACTCCCTTCACCAGGGCAAGAAAACATAATCAAAGTCCTCCTGACAAAGAGCCATTCAGCCATAGAGATAGATAGATATGATTCATACACACAGAGATACAGTATCATAGATTTGAAAGGGACCCCTAAAGAAGGACAATGGTATCTTGCATGTTCCAGGGTGGGCAAACCAGACACTCCACATCCACACTGACAAAGAAACAGCAAGAAATACTGATTACCCATAAGCAGAAAGATATTACATATATTAGAAACCAACACTTTCTCATTACTTTATTTCCCAGATCAACAGACTGGGCCACAGCAACGCATGGCAGGGGACAGCTAGTAATTTATAAAAACCTGGGATACTAATGTATCCCTAGTTTTAATAAATTCACTCTTATGTTTCACCAGAAAGAAATCTAAGAAGAAAAAGAGCAAGAGGAGCCGGAAGGACTCCAGCGACTCAAGCAGTGAAGATTCCGACAGTGAGACGATCCCGGGGGACGAGCTGTGGATCGAAAGGTCAAGTAAGTGATCATAGGCCTGGCAGAAATCCATTTACATAGCTTGCCTTGGCCTTCTTCTAAAGCTGACAGTGTCACTTGCCCAAGGGCCACCCAATGGGTTTCTGTGGCCAAGCAGGGTTTTGAACCCAGTCTCCAGAGCTATAATGCTTAAACCACTATATCACTCTGACTCTCTGTGCTTCCCTTCCTGTTTCTTGTCCTCTTGCAGAGAATGCAGACGCAGTGGATTTCATTGGTCCAGAAGCTCCTATTACCCACGCTTCCCAGGATGACCGGCCCTTGAAGTAAGTTTCCTGTCGTTTTTTGTAATGCACTTGTAATTTTGTAATGCACATTCTAAACGCCAAACATGCCACTGCTTTTACTAGGAACATTGAAATGTACAGAGAACCTCCCATCTTTTTTCCTTGCTGTCCTCTGTATACAGAATCTTTGTATTTTTGGCTTCGTGGAGAGTGTGAGATTTTTGTGATATATTAACAATATTTTGTGATAATATTAACAATATAAATGTGGGATATATATATATATATATATATATATATATATATATATATATATATAATATAAATGTTAGATAAAACTAAATACATAATAATAATAATAATAATAATAGCAATATAAATGTGTGCTACAACTATATACATAATAATATACAAGTGCGATAAAACAAAATAATATTAGCAATATAAATGTGGGATATATATATATATATATATAAATAAATAATATACATGTGAGATAAAACTAAATACATAATAATAGTAATAATAATAATAATAACAACAACAGCAATATAAATGTGTGCTACAACTATATACTTAATAATATACAAGTGCGATAAAACTAAATAATATAAATGTGAGATATATACATATAAATAAATAATATAAATGTGGGAGTAAACTAAATACATAATCATCATCATCATAACAACAGCAATATAAATGTGTGCTACAACTATATACATAATAATATACACGTGCGATAAAACTAAATAATAACAATATAAATGTGAGATATATACATATAAATAAATAATGTAAATGTGGGATAAAACTTAATAATAATAGCAATATAAATGTGGGATATATATGAATACATAATAATATCCCGCCACCTCAGGCGGGAGCCCTGACAATTCGGCCACGCGCTGCGAAGCATTTGCTCGGTTCTTTGCAGACAAAGTCGCTTTGATCCGTTCCGGTCTGGACACCATATTAAATGCAGTCTCTGAGGATGTGACACGAGCACCTGCTTGTCCTATTTTGATGGATTCTTTTCAATTGGTGAAGCCCGAGGATGTGGACAAGATACTTGGAGGAATGAGGCCCACCACGTCCATCCTAGACCCCTGCCCATCCTGGCTTCTGAAGGAGGCCAGAGGGGGATTGGCTGAGTGGGTAACGGGGGTGGTTAATGCCTCCCTTCGGGAAGGCAAGATTCCAGCGAGCTTAAAACAAGCTATTATAAAACCGCTGTTGAAGAAACCATCACTGGACCCCACTAAATTTGACAACTTTCGGCCTGTTTCCAATCTCCCCTTTTTGGGCAAAGTCATGGAAAGCGTGGTGGCCTCACAACTCCAGGTATTCTTGAGAGACACGGATTATCTGGATCCGGCACAGTCTGGTTTCAGACCGGGACATGGAACCGAGACGGTCTTGGTCGCCTTAGTGGATGATCTGCGCCAGGAGCTAGACAGGGGGAGTGTGTCCCTGTTGGTGCTCCTGGACCTCTCAGCGGCCTTCGATACCGTCGACCACGGTATCCTTCTGGGGCGCCTTGCGGAAATGGGCCTCGGGGGCACTGTTCTGCAGTGGCTCCGGTCATTTCTGGAGGGCCGCACCCAGAAGGTGTTATTGGGGGACACCTGTTCAACACCACAGCCTTTGACCTGTGGGGTTCCACAGGGCTCTATACTGTCCCCCATGCTGTTTAACATCTACATGAAGCCGCTGGGGGAGATCATCCGGAGTTTCGGGGTGCGGTGTCATCTGTACGCAGATGATGTCCAACTCTGTCACTCCTTCTCACCTGCTACTAAGGAGGCTGTCGAGGTCCTGAACCGGTGCTTGGCCGCTGTGACGGTCTGGATGAGGGCGAACAAATTGAAATTGAATCCAGACAAGACAGAGGTACTCCTGGTCAGTCGCAAGGCCGAACAGGGCATAGGGTTACAGCCTGTGTTGGATGGGGTCACACTCCCCCTGAAGACGCAGGTTCGCAGCTTGGGTGTGACCCTGGATTCATCGCTGAGCCTGGAACCCCAGGTTTCAGCGGTGACCAGGGGAGCATTTGCACAGCTTAGGCTCGTGCGCCAGCTGCGCCAGTACCTTGGGAAGTCTGACTTGGCCACGGTAGTACACGCTCTGGTCACATCCCGCCTTGACTACTGCAACGCTCTCTACGTGGGGCTGCCCTTGAAGACGGCCCGGAAGCTCCAGCTAGTCCAGCGCGCGGCAGCCATGTTACTAACAGGAGCGGGACGCAGGGAGCACACAACGCCCTTGTTGTTCCAGCTCCACTGGCTGCCGATTTGCTACCGGGCCCAATTCAAGGTGCTGGTGTTGGCCTACAAAGCCCTAAACGGTTCCGGCCCAAAATACCTGTCTGACCGCATCTCGGCCTATGAGCCCATGAGGACTTTGAGATCGTCTGGGGAGGCCCTTCTCTCGATCCCGCCTGCCTCACAGGCACGCCTGGCGGGGACGAGGGATAGGGCCTTCTCGGTGGTGGCCCCCCGGCTGTGGAACACCCTCCCTGTAGACATCAGACAGGCGCCCTCCCTTATGACATTCCGCAAGAGACTAAAGACGTGGTTGTTTGAGAAGGCGTTTGAGTAAGTGCTGCAACAATTGGCAATGACGATTGGAACGGAACATGGATAACGAGATTGGATTGTGATTCAAACGATGAGACGTCGCAAATGATTTAGTGTAATTGTATTATTGATAGTGATGTTGTTTATTGTTGTTTGTGATATTGCTTATGTTGTAAATTGATTTTATATGTTGTACACCGCCGTGAGTCGCCCTAGGGCTGAGAACGGCGGTCTACAAGTGCAGTAAATAAATAAATAAATAAATATAAATGTGGGATATATATAAATGAAAATAATATAAATGTGTGATAAATCCAAATACCTAATAATAATCATAATAATAATTTACATAAATACATAATGTTGTTGTTCATTCGTTCAGTCGTCTCCGACTCTTCGTGACCTCATGGACCAGCCTACGCCAGAGCTCCCTGTCGGCCGTTACCACCCCCAGCTCCCTCAAGGTCAGTCCAGTCACTTCAAGGATGCCATCCATCCATTTTGCCCTTGGTCGGCCCCTCTTCCTTTTGCCTTCCACTTTCCCCAGCATAATACATAATACATAATAGTAAGTAGGAATCCCAGGTAATAATAATAATAATAATAATAATAATAATAATAATAATAATAATAATATAAATGAGGGATATTAATAAATACACAATATACATAAAAATAAATAAAAATGAGGTTTCTAGGTTTATAACTAAACCTTTAAAACGCCGTCTTTGATTTAAACCTAATTAAGCCAACACGTTTTGCAAGTGTGTAGTCTCATGGATTGTTTGGTTATAAATGGGATATATTTTGATTCAGAAGACTGCATTTGTCTTGGCTGTTGTTGGTTGACATTGCATATGTCTATATATCCTTATCTCTTGAAGCTACGGCCATGCTCTGCTCCCTGGTGAAGGTGCTGCCATGGCAGAGTATGTCAAAGCAGGGAAACGCATCCCTAGAAGAGGTGAGATTGGCCTCACCAGCGAAGAGATTGCATCGTTTGAGAAGTCCGGCTATGTAATGAGTGGCAGCAGGTAAGCGATTTGTGGGGATTTGGCTTGGTGAAGAAGGGAGAGAGAGGTTTGTGATGGCAGGTGACTTTGTCCTACTAGTCCTATTCTGCTGGTTGGTTGGGCAATGCTAGGGAACATTATTTCTTATCACACACACAGCGGTCTCTCTACAACAACAAAATTGCAGATAAAAAGGAAAGCATAATTAAGAGTTGCTAATCTCAAGAATAAAATTTGCAACAGTCTCACAAAAAAAACCGCATCAGAGTTGTTCAGAAGATACGGAATTTTATAACATTTTGGCATTCCTGGAATTAGTCCATAGATTATCATATTTAGGGCACACAAACAAAGAAGGCTGAAGGGTTTCAATGGCAATCCAAGTCATAGAATCATAGAATCAAAGAGTTGGAAGAGACCTCCTGGGCCATCCAGTCCAACCCCATTCTGCCAAGAAGCAGGAATATTGCATTCAAATCACCCCTGACAGATGGCCATCCAGCCTCTGTTTAAAAGCTTCCAAAGAAGGAGCCTCCACCACACTCCGGGGCAGAGAGTTCCACTGCTGAACGGCTCTCACAGTCAGGAAGTTCTTCCTCATGTTCAGATGGAATCTCCTCTCTTGTAGTTTGAAGCCATTGTTCCGCGTCCTAGTCTCCAAAGAAGCAGAAAACAAGCTTGCTCCCTCCTCCCTGTGGCTTCCTCTCACATATTTATACATGGCTATCATATCTCCTCTCAGCCTTCTCTTCTTCAGGCTAAACATGCCCAGCTCCTTAAGCCGCTCCTCATAGGGCTTGTTCTCCAGACCCTTGATCATTTTAGTCGCTCTCCTCTGGACACATTCCAGCTTAGAGTCAATATCTCTCTTGAATTGTGGTGCCCAGAACTGGACACAATATTCCAGATGTGGTCTAACCAAAGCAGAATAGAGGGGTAGCATTACTTCCTTAGATCTAGACACTATGCTCCTATTGATGCAGGCCAAAATCCCATTGGCTTTTTTTGCTGCTGCATGACATTGTTGGTTCATGTTTAACTTGTTGTCCATGAGAAATCCGAGATCTTTTTCACACATGATGCTATCAAGCCAGACATCCCCATTCCGTATCATTGCATTTTTCTGCCAAAGTGGAGTATCTTGCATTTGTCCCTCTTGAACTTCATTTTGTTAGTTTTGGCCATCTCTCTAATCTGTCAAGATCGTTTTGAATTCTGCTCCTGTCCTCTGGAGTATTGGCTATCCCTCCCAATTTGGTGTCGTCTGCAAACTTGATGATCATGCCTTCTAGCCCTTCATCTAAGTCACAAGAACAAACCCTTTGGAAACGTTCTGCATTTTTATATCTGCCATCCAAAGGAGCTGAAGATGGCAACACATTACATCTTGCAGTCGCCAAAGCTCTCCTCTGCGTGGAGTGAATCAAAATAAGATAAGATAAGCCGCCATGATAACATCTCACTTGCATGGAATTAATGACGTGGTAGGGGAACAAGTCGTCTTTGCTGCAAGAGTCAGATTACGAAAGTCGATGATTTATTTGTTTATTTTAAACATTTATATTCTGCCCTTCTCAACCCGAAGGGGACTCAGGGCGGAGCACAACATATACACGGCAAACATTCAATGCCGGGACACAAATTCACATACACATACATAAATATTAAAAACATTTATCAAAATATTAAAATTCACCATTTAAAACCATCCTAGTCATCCGCATCAAATCTAATTGGCCTGGTCATCTTTTATATTGCCGCTTTATTGCCCTGTCTGTTCTTGATTGACCTTCAGGCATCCACATTGGTAAACATTAAGAGGTCTTCCAAAGATAGGCCAATGGCTTCAGTGTTTTTGAGAATCAAAGAATACCATTCTGAGATAAAATTATCTGATAACAGAGAGGGAATATAGTTTTTGGGAGCTGTTTGAAAATGTATATGCAGCCGGTATTGTATAGCTCTCATCCATGCCAAGGTTTCAAGAGTGAGTTGATCCATCTCAATGTGTAACACAACATCAGGCACACATGGAATTAATGACATGGTAGGGGAACAAGTTGCGTTTGCTGCAAGAGTCAGATCATGAAACCTGGAACTTGGAATGTAGTATATGAAATGATGCAGAAATCCAAGTAGAGGTATAGCCATACAGTAACAGAAAGCTAGAAGCCCCCTGGTTGCACGGTGGGTTAAACCGCTGAGCTGCTGAACTTGCTGACCGAAAGGTTGGCGGTTCAGATCCAGGGAGCAGGGTGAGATCCTTCTGTTAGGCCAAGCTTCTAGCAACCTAGTAGTTTGAAGACATGCTAGTGTGAGTTAATCAATAGATACCGCTCCAGTGGGAAGGTAGCAGGGCGCCATGCAGTCATGCCGGCCACATGACCTTGGAGGCATCTGTGGACAACGCCGGCTGTATGGCTTCGAAATGCAGATGAGCACCAACCCCCAGAGTTGGACATGACTAGACTTAATGTCAGGGGAAAACCTTTACCTTTACTGTAACAGAGAGTTTCCTTCTCCCTCTCTCCAGGCACCGGCGAATGGAAGCCGTGCGTCTGCGCAAAGAGAACCAGATTTACAGCGCCGACGAGAAACGGGCCCTGGCGTCTTTCAACCAGGAGGAGCGGCGCAAGAGGGAGAACAAGATCTTGGCCAGCTTCCGGGAGATGGTTTACCGGAAAACCAAGGGCAAGGACGAGAAATGAACAGCTTGCTGCTTTGTATCGCCTCTCCATAGTGATTTGCAAATGCGTGTATTTGCAAGGTTTTGGATATCAGACAAACAGCCCTTTCCGGTGTCATTTGCAATGCCTTGGAGGACATTGAGGGACATAAAATGTCAAGTCAGAAACTCAGAAAGGATAGCAATCCTGCAGACTTACGCCAACACGTTGTTAGGAACCTGATCCTGCCGCCTTTCGGTAATCTTGGAAAACAGCATTTTATTTTAATTAATTAATAAAATTCTGTAAACAACAACCAAATCTGAGATTTGATTAAACTTGTTTGTATTTTTATTTAAACCCACAGTATGAAACAAAAATAAACAATTAACTGGATGCAAGAACTAAAAAATGACGCAAATAGATTGTGCGTCTAAAGCTACACTTGCAAATGAGACCAAAACATTCTTCGCAAGAGGATGCCGCCTCATGCCGATTACTTCCCAAAATAGATGTAAAAATTTTGGTTGTTTTAAATCGTTTCTTTATTTTAATGTAGTAAAAACAACTTTAAACCATTGTAAATAAGACAGATTTTGTTTTTTAATTTTTGAAATATTGTACATTGAAGGATGTGGAAGAATGACCCCGTCTTACCAAAAGAGAGAGAACAGCTTGAAAAACGTCCTATTGGGTTTGGTTTCGTAAATAGAATTTCTGTGGCTGGAAGGCAACCAGCATTTGGGTCGGAAACAAGAGGGTTTTTAACCTGTTGTTTACTCAAAAGGCAGCCATATTTTAGGCAAGACCTTGGACCATTGTGTAGTAGACCCGCAGCACAAAAAGCTTACAAAGATGCCACAGGAAATGCCCCTTTTCCCAAGGCAGGATGTGTATATATATAAATGATGGAGTGGGTTTTGTCTGGAAATGCCCCTTTTCCCAAGGCAGGATGTGTATATATATAAATGATGGAGTGGGTTTTGTCTGGTACGTCTTAAGTACCGCCTCTATGCACAGTTCTAAATATTTGTATTATTTCTGGGAGCATTTAAATAAATTGCTGATTCCAAGTACGCCTGAATATTATCATTCTGTTATTTTGGTACCAGTCTTTAAGTTTACCAATTGCTTTGTGGGAAATTCATCTTCTGGAATATAGACCTGCATGCAATAATCAGTACATCATGTCTGTGGCAGATGTATTATGGTTGAAGACAAAATATCATTGACCCTTTATGCATATTTTGAGCTTATTTCTCCATAGCAGCAATGGATTTTATTTTTTATTTATTGAGTCATCAGCAACCAGTCAATTATATTACATTTCTAACAGAACAAAGCAAACAAACAGACAAAATTTGTGATTTGGTAGTTGATTAAATGTCCTTTGACCAGTATCTGGCCACTTGAAGTGCTCTGGTGTTGCTGCAAGAAGGTCCTCCCTTGTGCATCATGTGGCAGGGCTCAGGTTGCATTGCAGCAGGTGGTCAGTGGTTTGCTCTTCGCACTCGCATGTCGAGGATTCCACTTTGTAGCCCCATTTCTGAAGGTTGGCTCTGCATCTCGTGGTGCCAGAGCGCAGTCTGTTCAGCGCCTTCCAAGTCGCCCAGTCCTCTGTGTGCCCAGGGGGGAGTCTCTCATTTGGTATCAGCCATTGGTTGAGGTTCTGGGTTTGAGCCTGCCACTTTTGGACTCTCGCTTGCTGAGGTGTTCCAGCGAGTGTCTCTGTAGATCTTAGAAAACTATTTCTAGATTTAAGTCATTGACGGGCTGGCTGATACCCAAACAGGGGATGAGTGGAGATGTCTCTGCCTTGGTCCTTTCACTATTGGCTGCTACTTCCCGGCGGATGTCAGGTGGTGCAATACCGGCTAAGCAGTGTAATTTCTCCAGTGGTGTAGGGCGCAGACACCCGTGATAATGCGGCATGTCTCATTAAGAGCCACATCCACTGTTTTAGCATGGTGAGATGTGTTCCACACTGGGCATGCGTACTCAGCAGCAGAGTATAGCGCAAGGGCAGATGTCTTCACTGTGTCTGGTTGTGATCCCCAGGTTGTGCCAGTCAGCTTTCGTATGATATTGTTTCTAGCACCCACTTTTTGCTTGATGTTCAGGCTGTGCTTCTTGTAGGTCAGAGCACGGTCCAGAGTGACTCCCAGGTATTTGGGTGTGCTGCAATGCTCCAATGGGATTCCTTCCCAGGTAATGATCCTCAGAGCTTGGGATGCTTGTCTGTTCTTGAGATGAAAGGCACACGTCTGTGTTTTAGATGTGTTAGGGATCAGTTGGTTTTTCCTGTAATGGGTAGTAAAAGTGCATGAGTTATTTCAAGGATGGTCCACCCAAGACCCTGCTTTCTGCCGTTTAGGACAGGATGGCACTGTTTCCCCGTTTGGTCTTGCAAAGATGTAGCTTTGCTGTTAGATCACAGGATAGTAACCATCCTTCTGCAAGTGAAGCAGACTCTAGATCTGGGCCAGATAGAAAACAAAACCACCTCCGTGTCATGTTTCATTTTACTGTCCACAAATCAAACAACATCCATTTGCTTGCAGAGAAATACAACTTTTATTTCCAAAAAGAAAAAGAGAAAGAAACAGGAAAATATGCACAAGCTTTTAACTAACAGCAGTTCTAACAATACTAAAAGTAGATTGTCTCCATCAGGCCGATTTTGCTCTCGATTACGTCTTTGAGCCACTTTTCTTTAAATCGAGACTCTCCTGGCCTGTAAAGGACAAACAACAAAGGAAATAAGTATTTCGTGGAATTCAAAATACCTAATACCCTAGTGTCTAATAGGACCTGTTTTAGATCATCGTGTCATGTCAGAAATGAGAATACATGAAAGAAGCTTCCTCGCAGGATGTTAACACATCCGGGTGTCCCCTGGGCAACGTCTTTGTAGAAGGCTGATTCTCTCACACCAGAAACAGGAGCTTTTTTGTTGAGTTCCAGGGTCAGAGAAGCAGATGGCGAAAACAGAAGAACGGCCGGCGTCAGGGGAGCGTGCTTGCTCCATCGATGTTTGACATTTACATAAATGATCAGCCTCTGCCAGAAGGGACAGAGAATTTCATACGAGGGTTGAATGAAAAGTAATGCCTCCACCTTCGTAACTCCTCAACAGATGGCAGTACTGGTATGCGGCAGGTACTGGCTTGTTCAGTAGACTCTCCTCTACAGTTCCATTTTGGTGGGAAGCCTTAGCATTGAACAGTTGTGTTGTTAAAGTGCAAAGTATTGAACCTTGCACGGACGGTTGGTCAATGCGACTTAAGTAATGCGCAGTCATTGAATTCTTGACAGCAGAAGGTGTCACCCCAAAGGGGATTCCTCAGAGAATGCAAGCTGTTGATGATGATTGTGTTGATGTGAGTACTGTGTGTCGTTGGGCGAGTAAGTTTAAAGATGTTGAGGTGGGAACGTCTGACTTGCATGGCAAACAAAGAGTTGGACGTCCTGTGACAGCAACCACCAAGTTTCACAAGCAAAAGGTTCACAGATTGATTCAGGATTATCGTCGTATCACTCAGAGAGAAATTTCAAGCATAATCGGAATTTCACAAGAACATGTGGGTCACATTATTGCTTTGCTTGGCTATCAGAAGATCTGTGCACGATGGGTACCCAGGATGCTGACGCCTGAAATTAAAGCGCACAGACTTCAGGGACTGGATCTCACCACCGTATGTCATCCTCCATACAGTCCAAATTTAGCACCTTCTGACTTCCATCTGTTCCCGATAATGGAAGAAGATCTGTGGGAACAGCTTGCATTCTCTTATGCTTCTGATGAAGACGTTGAGGGAACTGTGAGATGCTGGTTGCGGAAACAGAGTGTCGACTTCTTCCGTGACGGCTTCAAAAAACTTGTTCATCATTGGCAGAAATGTATTCAATTGTCTGGTGATGATGTGGAAAAGTGAGTAGTGGTAGTTAAAGAGCACATTCTAAGGATTATTTCTGCGTTTGATTTATTAAAATATTCCCATCCAAACCCAAGTAACGAAGGTGGAGGCATTACTTTTCATTCAACCCTCGTATATGCTGATGATCATGTCATCACTGCACAAGCAGGGAGCTTTGAAATGCTCTCCAAAACTTTACATGCTCTCACTGCCCCGTACTGGGAAAAACTGTTTTAGATGGTCTCCAAGTACTCTCCAATAATAATGTGGGTTATATTGGCACTGAGATTTAATTGTTGAACCAGACTTTAGCTGTGGCATGTCTTCAATACAGCTTGACAAAATAATGTAGTAGAATATTCATAGAATCACAGAATCAAAGAGTTGGAAGAGACCTCCTGGGCCATCCAGTCCAACCCCATTCTGCCAAGAAGCAGGAACATTGCATTCAAATCACCCCTGACAGATGGCCATCCAGCCTCTGTTTAAAAGCTTCCAAAGAGGGAGCCTCCACCACACTCTGGGGCAGAGAGTTCCACTGCTGAACGACTCTCACAGTCAGGAAGTTCTTCCTCTTGTTCAGATGGAATCTCCTCTCTTGTAGTTTGAAGTCATTGTTCCTCGTCTCCAGGGAAGCAGAAAACAAGCTTGCTCCCTCCTCCTCCCTGTGGCTTCCTCTCACTTATTTATACATGGGTATCATGTCTCCTCTCAGCCTTCTCTTCTTCAGGCTAAACAAGGCCAGCTCCTTAAGCCGCTCCTCATAGGGCTTGTTCTCCAGGCCCTTGATCATTTTAGTTGCCCTCCTCTGGACAATTCATTTGCAAGCTTGTGCCGGCTAATAGGAGGTCAACAGTGAAACATTTGGGGCAGGCAGAACATTGATGCTAAATGGTTCTGCTAGAATCAGAAGCTTTTCTCTCCTGATACAGAGGAGTTGATTCAGAGCGTTGTGTTACCTAGAACATACCTGTGAATAAGCTTGTTTGTCTCCACCATGAAGTATACTTCGATGGGTAACGTCTGTTGCAAAAGGAAAACAAGGCGTTGTTAAACGGGCGACCCCCCTTCAGTGGCGTGCCTTAAATAAAGGAAGGGATGTGACCGTGAGAAGCGGAACACTTACGTCGGGCCTGACTTTGGAAATCTCAAGGATGAAGTACACGCAGGCCGTGGCTCTCGGGATGGGCTTGCGGCACGTGGGGATGCTCCACCGCACCCGGTAGTGGTACCGAATGCTGTACTGGAGCTCCTCCTCGCTGAGATAGTTGGTCCAGTGCAGCCAGCTTTCGTGGAGCTCCCACGTCTGTGGAATGAACAGTATTGAAAAGCTCTAACATCAGGACGGTCAATAAAGAACGACGCTCAGAAAACAAGGGAATTCCAGACAAGAAACAATCAGGGCCAGCTAACACCTCCCAACAAAGGATTCCCCCAGGCAGGAAGCAGSCAGGCTTTGAAGCTGCACAGCCATTCGAYGCTAAYCAAGGTGGCCAATTGCAACATTTACCCTTGCCTCCAACGGACAAGAGTTCTTTCTCCTACCCTGGACATTATTCCACAGATATATAAACCCCACATCCCACTTTGTTGGAAAGTGTTAGCTGGCCCTGACTTTCCCAGGCTTTGAAGCTGCAAGGCCATTCAACGCTAGTCAAGGTGGCCAATTGCAACATTTGCCCTTGCCTCCAACAGACAAGAGTTCTTTCTCCCACCCTGGACATTATTCCACAGAAATATAAATCCCACTTGCCACCTTGTTGGAAAGTGTTAGCTGGCCCTGACTGTTTCCCAAGCAGGGAGCAGCCAGGCTTTGAAGCTGCAAGGCTACTCAGTGCTAATCAAGGTKGCCCATTGTAACATTCACACTTGCCTCAAGCAGACAAGAGTTCTTTCTCCCATTCTGGACATTATTCCACAGATATATAAATCCCACTTGCCACTTTGTTGGAAAGTGTTAGCTGGCCCTGACTATTTCCCAAGCAGGGAGCAGCCAGGCTTTGAAGCTGCAAGGCTACTCAATGCTAATCATGGTGGCCAGTTGTAACCTTCACGCTTTCCTCAAGCAGGCAAGAGTTCTTTCTCCCATTCTGGACATTATTCCATAGATCTATAAACCCCACTTGCTACTTTGTTGGGATGTGTTAGCTGGCCCTGACGTTTTCCCAGGCAGGAAGCAGCCAGGCTTTGAAGCTGCAAGACTACTCAATGCTAATCAAGGTGACCAGTGGCAACATTCACTCCTCAAGCAGACAAGAGTTCTTTCTCCCACCCTGGACATTATTCCACAGAAATATAAATCCTACTTGCCACTTTGCTGGAAAGTGTTAGCTGGCCCTGACTGTTTCCCAAGCAGGGAGCAGCCAGGCTTTGAAACTGCAAGGCTACTCAATGCTAATCAAGGTGGCCAATTGTAATATTCACGCTTTCCTCAAGCAGACAAGAATTCTTTCTCCCATTCTGGACATTATTCCATAGATCTATAAACCCCACTTGCTACTTTGTTGGGAGGTGTTACCTGGCCCTGACTGTTTCCCGGGCTGGAAGCAGCCAGACTTTGAAACTGCAAGGCCATTCAATGCTAATCACACTTGCCTCCAACAGACAAGAGTTCTTTCTCCTACCCTGGACATCATTCCACAGGTGTATATACAAACCCCACTTGCCTAGTGTGTAACAGACCTCACAACCTCTGAGTTGCCATAGATGTGGGTGAAATGTCAGGAGAGAATGCTTCTGGGACAGACCTAATACTCCTCATTCTATTCTATTCTAAAATATAACCCGGAGACACCTCTGTCTGTGTATTTTATGTACCGTCCTTTTCAAAACAAGCAATTCAGATTCTTTTGAAGCAGGAGATGGCATTTGGAAAGCAGCGGGCCAAATCTTGCAAATGCTTGCAAGCAGAAGCATTGCATATTTGAGATGTTTGGAATAGTTGCATTCATGCAACAAGACATCATACATATAAATGGGACCCAAGTTCAATCATAACGTTCGCTTCTGCTTAATGTGCATCTTAAGCATTAATGTGCATCTTGAGCCCCCAGTGGCGCAGTGGGTTAAACCCTTGCGCCAGCAGGACTGAAGACCGACAGGTCACAGGTTCGAATCCGGGGAGAGCACGGATGAGCTCCCTCTGTCAGCTCCATCTCCTCATGCGGGGACATGAGAGAAGCCTCCCACAAAGATGGGAAAACATCAAAATATCTGGGCACCCCCTGGGCAACATCCTTGCAGATGGCCAATTCTCTCACACCAGAAGTGACTTGCAGTTTCTAAAAAAAAAATGTGAATCTGAAGCTCGCTTTTACGTTTTGAAGAACATTGTGCATGTGTCTAGAATAGAATAGAGTAACTTCTCTAGTTTCCAACAGACCTCACAACCTATGAGGAAGCCTGCCACAGATGCAGGTGAAACGTCAGGAGAGAATGCTTCAGGAACATGGCCATACCTCTCAATCTCTGAGGGTGCCTGCCACAGATGCAGGCAAAACGTCAGGAGAGAATGCTTCTGGAGCATGGCCATACCTCTCAATCTCTGAGGGTGCCTGCCACAGATGCAAGCAAAACATCAGGAGAGAATGCTTCTGGAACATGGCCATAGCTCTCAACCTCTGAGGATGCCTGCCATAGATGCAGGTGAAAGAAACGTCAGGAGAGAATGCTTCTGGAACATGGCTATAACTCTCAATCTCTGAGGGTGCCTGCCACAGATGCAGGTGAAATGTCAGGAGAGAATGCTTCAGGAACATGGCCATACCTCTCAATCTCTGAGGATCCCTGCCATAGATGCAGGCGAAACATCAGGAGAAAATACTTCTGGAACATGGCCATAACTATCAATCTCTGAGGATGCCCGCCATAGATGCAGGCGAAACGTCAGGAGAGAATGCTTCTAGAACACGGCCATACCTTTCAACCTCTGAGGATGCCCACCATAGATGCAGGCGAAAGAAACGTCAGGAGAGAATGCTTCTGGAACATGGCCATAGCTCTCAATCTCTGAGGATCCCTGCCATAGATGCAGGTGAAACGTCAGGAGAGAATGCTTCTGGAACATGGCCATAGCTCTCAATCTCTGAGGGTGCCTGCCACAGATGCAGGCAAAACGTCAGGAGAGAATGCTTCTGGAGCATGGCCATACCTCTCAATCTCTGAGGGTACCTGCCACAGATGCAGGCAAAACATCAGGAGAGAATGCTTCTGGAACATGGCCATAGCTCTCTATCTCTGAGGGTGCCTGTCACAGATGCAGGTGAAACGTCAGGAGAGAATGCTTCTGGAACATGGCCATACCTCTCAACCTCTGAGGGTGCCTGCCATAGATGCAGGTGAAAGAAATGTCAGGAGAGAATGCTTCTGGAACATGGCCATAGTTCTCAACCTCTGAGGATCCCTGCCACAGATGCAGGCAAAACGTCAGGAGAGAATGCTTCTGGAACATGGCCATAGCTCTTAATCTCTGAGGGTGCCTGCCATAGATGCAGGCAAAAGAAACGTCAGGAGAGAATGTTTCTGGAACATGACCATACCTCTCAACCTCTGAGGATGCCTGCCATAGATGCAGGTGAAAGAAACGTCAGGAGAGAATGCTTCTGGAACATGGCCATAGCTCTCAATCTCTGAGGGTGCCTGCCACAGATGCAGGTGAAATGTCAGGAGAGAATGCTTCAGGAACATGGCCATACCTCTCAATCTCTGAGGATCCCTGCCATAGATGCAGGCGAAACATCAGGAGAAAATACTTCTGGAACATGGCCATAACTCTCAATCTCTGAGGATGCCCGCCATAGATGCAGGCGAAACGTCAGGAGAGAATGCTTCTAGAACACGGCCATACCTCTCAACCTCTGAGGATGCCCGCCATAGATGCAGGCGAAAGAAACGTCAGGAGAGAATGCTTCTGGAACATGGCCATAGCTCTCAATCTCTGAGGATCCCTGCCATAGATGCAGGTGAAACGTCAGGAGAGAATGCTTCTGGAACATGGCCATAGCTCTCAATCTCTGAGGGTGCCTGCCACAGATGCAGGCAAAACGTCAGGAGAGAATGCTTCTGGAGCATGGCCATACCTCTCAATCTCTGAGGGTACCTGCCACAGATGCAGGCAAAACATCAGGAGAGAATGCTTCTGGAACATGGCCATAGCTCTCTATCTCTGAGGGTGCCTGTCACAGATGCAGGTGAAACGTCAGGAGAGAATGCTTCTGGAACATGGCCATACCTCTCAACCTCTGAGGGTGCCTGCCATAGATGCAGGTGAAAGAAATGTCAGGAGAGAATGCTTCTGGAACATGGCCATACATCTCAACCTCTGAGGATGCCTGCCACAGATGCAGGCAAAACGTCAGGAGAGAATGCTTCTGGAACATGGCCATACTCTCAATCTCTGAGGGTGCCTGCCACAGATGCAGGCAAAACGTCAGGAGAGAATGCTTCTGGAACATGGCCATAGCTCTCAATCTCTGAGGATCCCTGCCACAGATGCAGGTGAAACGTCAGGAGAGAATGCTTCTGGAACATGACCATACCTCTCAACCTCTGAGGATGCCTACCATAGATGCAGGCGAAACGTTAGGAGAGAATGCTTCTGGAACATGGCCATAGCTCTCAATCTCTGAGGGTGCCTGCCACATATGCAGGCGAAACATCAGGAGAGAATGCTTCTGGAACATGGTCAGACAGCCTGGAAAACTCACAGCAACCCAACTTAGACTTTATTTATGGTCTTTATGTTTGCATGCCTGTGTATTCAAGCCACGGTGGGACAGACTAAGATTGCTCGATTCCAGACTTCTATTTTTTACTTTGATTATACCAGTCAATAAGGAAAGATACCTTACTCTCATATATTCCTCGATCTGCAGCAGCCCTTTTCCTATCGTGAAGTCTTTGCACTCCACCCATTGGATGTTGGGTATTTTGTATTTGGCTCTTGCGGCTGAAAAGAGAGACCCATCGTGTAAATAGATGGCACAGCCACCAAAAAGGGTTCGGAAACACAACAAAGCCTGTCTTACCGCACCTTCTTCTTTCTTTTTCTGGTCTATAATGGTGTCCGTTGCCCCTTTGATCACATTGTCGACAATGAGGAGCGCTCTCTCCTTGAGGGACTCCAGATCTTCGTTCGTCTCTTCCACATCTTGGTCTTCGTTTGTCTCTTCCACATCTTGGTCTTCATTGTCCACGCTCATTGTTCACACTCTTAGAAAGAGGGGAAACTACATTACATGGCATCTGAAGAATTGGGGAAGTATGACTGCTGTGTAATTTAGATGTACAGGTATAATTTGGTTAAGATGAGCCTGGGACTTTTAGATACTGTTACATTGTTGTTCAGGCTTCAGCTATGCAGATGCTGAGAAAGAGAGAGCTTGGAGCGCACTCTTGCTTTATGAGCTGGTGGAGGAGTTTATCCATGTGGACAAAGAAAGACTATTTGAAATCTGTCATAAAGGGATATTATATGTGAGTTGGTGCAACTGATCATAATGTACATATGCTGTTCTGAATTAAGAAGAGTAAACAGCTGTTTACCTACATGGCATATTATCTTTCTCTGGCAAGGCAGTGTGTGGGCTGATCAAACATGAACTACACGTGGTTTATTTTACATTACGTCAAAATACACACACACTTGGAATAAAAACACATCAGGCAATAAGAATAATTATTCAAATTATTGTGATGATAATTATGATTTTTGTGATGATAATTATTGTGATGATGATGATAATTATGATTTTGTGATGATAATTATTGTGATTATGATGATAATTATGATTATGATTGTTATTAATTTATACCCCCCCCCTTTTCACTCCACAAAGGAAAACCTTTTCATCTATGCTGATGATCTTGCCATCACCACCCAAGCAGGGAGCTTTGAGATGGTTGAACAGAAGCTCTCCAAAGCTCTAGGTGCTCTTACTGCCTATTATAGGGAAAACCAGCTGATCCCTAATCCATCTAAAACACAGACATGTGCTTTCACCTTAAGAACAGACAAGCATCCCGAGCTCTGAGGATTATTACCTGGGAAGGAATCCCACTGGAGCATTGCAGCGCACCCACATACCTGGGAGTCACTCTGGACCGTGCTCTGACCTACAAGAAGCACTGCCTGAACATCAAGCAAAAAGTGGGTGCTAGAAACAATATCATACGAAAGCTGACTGGCACAACTTGGGGATCACAACCAGATACAGTGAAGACATCTGCCCTTGCGCTATGCTACTCTGCTGCTGAGTAAGCATGCCCAGTGTGGAACACATCTCACCACGCTAAAACAGTGGATGTGGCTCTTAATGAGACATGCCGCATTATCACGGGGTGTCTGCGCCCTACACCACTGGAGAAATTACACTGCTTAGCCGGTATTGCACCACCTGACATCCGCCGGGAAGTGGCAGCCAATAGTGAAAGGACCAAGGCAGAGACATCTCCGTCCCACCCCCTGTTTGGGTATCAGCCAGCACGTCAATGGTTTTTTTAAATTTTGTATGTTGTTGGATTGACTTTTTGCTCTTGTTGTGAACCGCGTTGAGTCGCCTACGGGCTGAGAAACTGCGGTATACAAGCAAAGTAAATAAATAAATAAATAAATAAATAAATTAAACCAAGAAATAATTTTCTAAGATCTACAGAGACACTCACTGGAACATCTCAGCAAGCGAGATCCCAAAAGTGGCAGGCTCAAACCCAGAACCTCAATCAATGGCTGATACCCAATGAGAGACTTCCCCCTGGGCACACAGAAAACTGGATGACTAAGAAGGCGCTGAACAGACTGCGCTCTGGCACCACGAGATGCAGAGCCAACCTCAAGAAATGGGGCCACAAAGTGGAATCCACGACATGCGAGTGTGGAGAAGAGCAAACCACTGACCACCTGCTGCAATGCAACCTGAGCCCTGCCACATGATGCACAAGGGAGGACCTTCTTGCGGCAACACCAGAGGCACTCTAAGTCGCCAGCTACTGCTCTAAGGACATTTAATCGACTACCAAGTTTGCAAATTTTGTGTTTTGTCTGTTTGTTTGCTTTGTTCTGTTAAAAATGTAATACAGTGGTCTGGTTGCCCCTGACACGATAAATAAATAAATAACACCTTTTGAACTTTTTAGAGCAGCATTTCTCAACCTGGGGGTCAGGACCCCTGGGGGGGATGCAAAGGGGTTTCAGGGGAGTCACCAGAGACCATCAGAAAACACATATTTCTGATACTCTTAGGAATCCCTTTGGCATAGTTGTTTGGGTTCACTGTGCTCTCTGGAGGAAGGTGAACTACATCTCCCCTAAATCACGGTCAATTCGTGTCAAATCTGTTGGTCATGGGGGTCTCTGTGTGGGAAGTTTGGACCAATTCTGTTGGTGGGGTTCAAAATGATCTTTGATTGTAGGTGAACTATAAATCCCAGCAACTACAACTCCCAAATGCCAATGTCTATTTTCCCCAAACTCCGCCAATGTTCACACTTGGACACATGGAACATTTGTTCCAAGTTTGGTCCAGATCCATCATTGTTTGAGTCCACAGTGCTCTCTGGATGTAGGTGAACTACAACTCCAAAACTCAAGGTCAATGCCCACCAAAATCTTGCAGTATTTTTCTGTTGGTCATGGGAGTTCTGTGTGCCAAGTTTGGGTCAAACCAGAATCTCCATAGCTTTTTGGAAGCGTGACCTTTTGGAGATTAATTGGCATTCACTACCACTTGGAAGATCATAGCCTTTTTGTAAAGGATGATCTTCTTGAGAAGAGCTAAAAACTCATTATAGTTAATCTTCTCTTTAGTGGTATCATGCAAAGCAAATTGGGTTTCTCAGTTGTTAGACTGATATACCTCGTTATCTCTTTGAATTTTTAGGAACAAAGATTATACCAATGCATAAAATATATCGCAGATCTTCAGAAGTAGTATTTCAGTGGCCCAAAAACATCTACTCTCCCATAAAACATATTTGGAATTGGTCCCTGTTAGCACAGCGGGTTAAACCACTGAGCTGTTGAACTTGCTGACCGAAAGGTTGGTGGTTGGTGGTTCGAATCCTGAGAGCGGGGTGATCTCCTGCTGTTAGCCCCAGCTTCTGCCAATGTAGCAGTTCAAAAACATGCAAATGTGAGTAGATCAATAGGTACTGTTTCTGCAGGAAGGTAGCAGCGCTCCATGCAGTGGAGTTCAGAATACTCTCTGATTATAGGTGAACTATAAATCCCAGCAACTACAACTCCCAAATGTCAAGGTCTATTTTCCCCAAATGGATTGAGGTTCTGGGTTTGAACCTGCCACTTTTGGACTCTTGCTTGCTGGGGTGTTCCAGCGAGTGTCTCTGTAGATCTTAGAAAAATATTTCTTGATTTAAGTCGTTGACGTGCTGGCTGATACCCAAACAGGGGATGAGCTGGAGATGTCTCTGCCTTGGTCCTTTCACTATTGGCTGCTACTTCCTGGCGGATGTCAGGTGGTGCAATACTGGCTAAGCAGTGTAATTTCTCCAGTGGTGTAGGGCGCAGGCACCCCGTGATAATGCGGCATGTCTCATTCAGAGCCACATCCACTGTTTTATTGTAGTGAGATATGTTCCACACTGGGCATGGGTACTCAGCGAGGAGGGAATGGAAGAGGGAGGGAGCTCATCATGGATCATCATCATGGGATGAAGGATCATACTCTAGTTATTAGGGGTGTGTGAATAGCAGCAAAACAGTGTAATTTCTCCAGTGGTGTAGGGCATAGATATCCTGTGGCATCTTATTAAGAGCCACATCTATTGTTTTAGCGTGGTGAGATGTGTTCCACACTGGGCATGCATACTCAGCAGCAGAGTAGTAAAGCACAAGGGCAGATGCCTTCACTGTGTCTGGTTGTGATCCCCAGGTTGTGCCAGTCAGCTTTCGTATGATATTATTTCTAGCACCCACTTTTTGCTTGATATTCAGGCAGTGCTTCTTGGAGGTCAGAGAACGGTCCAGAGTAACTCCCAGGTATGTGGTTGTGCTGCAATGTTCCAGGGTGATTCCTGATGCTGTTGGGATACTAATCGAAAAAAAGTAAACATTTCTAAGATGCCACAGGTTGAATTAAGGCCTTTTGCATGCTAAGTGTGTGGCAGTCATTCGCCACGCTGCCTGGTTGATATCTGTGCTTGCAAATGCACCTCTGCATGATTCACCCATGGATGCTTTGAGGCATTTTCAGGTGTGCATTTGCAGAAATAATGTCTAGAATGTCATGCATGAAAGGCTGTTTCCTTTGCATTTACTTTGTCCCATTCCCAGGACCCTCTCCACCATAGATGCCAATCAAGATACAAGCTGCCAACCTCCAAAGTGGGATGCCCAATTGGTTCATCAAGGAGTGCTCAGTGGATGCCAACCCTTCCCTCTGCTCTGACAACGTCATTACCTCTGCAAAGCCCTCTCCTCGGGTCCTTTCTCTTCCTAAGGACGTCTGCCTGGTTCCCACATTAAGCCATTGACTGCCTGGCGTCTGTGACTCAAGTGTTGGGTCACAATCATCACCAAGGCAACGGCTGTTCCGCCAACAGAGCAGCAGCCCCAAGGCTCTTAAAGGAGACAAGCAGTGGCACTTGGTGGCACATCGGATGCACGGCCAACCAGGCTTCAGCAGCTATTACGAATTGTGGGAGTTGAAGTCCAAAACACCTGGAGGGAGGGCCCAAGTTGGCCCACACGTGGACTAGAACTTCCTTTCAGTCAATTAATCTATAGAAGTAACTTCCTCAAAACATCTAGGAAGCAATTACCATACTGGCCATTGCGGTAGAGCCTCACTTATCCAACCTTCACTCATCCAACGTTCTGTATTATCCAACACAGTCTTCCTCTCGCCCGGATCCACAGTTCTTCCAATATGTTGTGATATTTTGGTGCTAAATTAGTAAATGCATTAATTAATTCATAACGTTGCCATGCATTGAACTGCTTTTTCTGTCGAATTGTTGCAAAACATAACATGTCGCAGCTTAATTTGGAAAATCATAACGTTATTTGGTTTCCCCTCTTTTGCTGCTTGTGACAGGAAATCTGGCTTTCTGCTCCAATCAATTTCCATGCTAAATCTCGTTCTGTCATGGTGGATTTTCTTGCAAAATGAGGGCAAGTTCATTTTTTTTATTACCGCTTCAGTTCCTCACAAAAGGTATACCGTGGGCTCTCCGTATCCACTGAGGTTTGGAGACCCAAATTCATGTATGCTCAAGGGGAAATACAGTTAAGAGGATATCAAAATAGTATGATTTTGCTTCCCAAGAAGGCAAAATTCTGCATTTTTCTCTCCACTCCCTTTGCTGAATTACTTTTGCATTTTTTACTCATTTTGCGTCAATGAAAGTAAATCTAGGGTTTTTTTTCCACGTCTTCTGGTGTGAGAGAACTGGTCTTCTGCAAGGACTTTGCCAGGGGAATCCTGGATGTTTTGATGTTTTCCCATCCTTGTAAGAGCCCCCGGTGGTGCAGTGGGTTCAACCCCTGTGCCGGCAGGACTGAAGACCGACAGGTCACAGGTTCGAATCCGGGGAGAGGCGGATGAGCTCCCTCTATCAGTTCCAGCTCCTCATGCGGGGACATGAGAGAAGCCTCTCAAGGATGATAAAAACATCAAATCATCCGGGCAATGTCCCCTGGGCAACGTCCTTGCAGACGGCCAATTCTCTCACACCAGAAGCGACTTGCAGTTTCTCAAGTCGCTCCTGACACGACAAAAAAAAACTCATCCTTGTGGGTGGGTTCTCTCATATCCCTTCATGGGGAGCTGGAGCTGACAGAGGGAGCTCAGCCACACTCTCCCTGGATTCGAACCTCTAACCTGTCAGTCAGAGGTTGTTGGGAATTGTGGGAATTGAAGTCCAAAACACCTGGAAGGTCAAAGTTTGCCCATGCCTGATCTATCTGCATATATACGCAATGGTTTTGATAGTTACTTGTGCTGGGAAATAGCTGGAGGGATCTTGGCCACCGTCTCTTTTCCCAGTGGATTATGCAAACCAGATCATAGAGGGATTGTTGTTGTTTATTCATTCAGTCATTTCCGACTCTTTGTGACTTTATGGACCATCCCACGCCAGAGCTCCCTGTTGGCCGTGGCCATCCCCAGCTCCTTCAAAATCAAGCCAGTCACTTCAAGGATACCATCCATCCATCGTGCCCTTGGCATATAGGGATGGTTGCCTTCAATTTACATTTTGATACATATATTAGAAACAGTTTATACCTATCATATAAGGACTTGACACAGTACACAGTGTACAAAAGATAAAAGTTACACAAAATCACCAAATTGAAACGTTTAGAATTGATCAAGTTTGTAGGATACAGTTGCTGCTAGGTCCATTCTGGCAACTCGAATGCTTTGCCATTTCACAACTCTGGACCTCCAAAAATATTTTAATAAAAAAGAAATAAATCTTTTTTTTTTGCTTGAAGTCTCTTGGTGAACTATAAATCTTTTCAGGGGGAGTACTTGTTGGAGTTCAGCCTGTGATTTTGTTTCAGGATCAGGGTGCTTTGGATGTGGGGAATGATAATACAATGGTCTGGTTGCCCTGACACGATAAATAAATAAATAAAACCTTTTTTTTTCAACCTGGGGGTCGGGACCCCTGGGGGGGATGCAAAGGGGTTTCAGGGGAGTCACCAGAGACCATCAGAAAACACATATTTCTGATACTCTTAGGAATCCCTTTGGCATAGTTGTTTGGGTTCACTGTGCTCTCTGGAGGAAGGTGAACTACATCTCCCCTAAATCACGGTCAATTCGTGTCAAAACTGTTGGTCATGGGGGTCTCTGTGTGGGAAGTTTGGACCTATTCTGTTGGTGGGGTTCAGAATGATCTTTGATTGTAGGTGAACTATAAATCCCAGGAACTACAACTCCCAAATGCCAATGTCTATTTTCCCCAAACTCCACCAATGTTCACATTTGGACATATGGAGTATTTGTACCAAATTTGGTCCAGATCCATCATTGTTTGAGTCCACAGTGCTCTCTGGATGTAGGTGAACTACAACTCCCAAACTCAAAGTCAGTGCCCACCAAACTCTTGCAGTATTTTTCTGTTGGTCGTGGGAGTTCTGAGTGCCAAGTTTGGTTCAAACCGGAATCTCCATAGGCTTTTGGAAGCATGACCTTTTGGAGATTAATTGGCATTCACTACCACTTGGAAAATCATAGTCCAGTGGTTCTCAACTTGTGGGTCCCCAGATGTTTTGGCCTTCAACTCCCAGAAATGGGATTTCTTGGAGTTGTAGGCCAAAACACCTGGAGACCCACAGGTTGAGAACCATTGTATAGCCTTTTTGTAAAGGATGATCTTCTTGAGAAGAGCTAAAAAGTCATTATAGTGAATCTTCTCTTTAGTGGTATATATTTACTAGTATCATGCGAAGCAAATTGGGTTTCTCAGTTGTTAGACAGATATACCTCGTTATCTCTTTGAACTGTTAGGAACAAAGATTATACCAATGCATAAAATATATTGCAGATCTTCAGAAGTGTTATTTCAGTGGCCCAAAAACATCTAATGAGGTTCAAGATGAGTTTCAAGATGGCAATGGTTTGGTCAGTGATACTGATGCAGAGAATGACCAGGAGATCCCTGTAGTTTCCCATGAGAATGTCCCTGAGGGGTGTGGGGATGCACCTGCAGAAATTAATGAGCAAATAGATGACGAGCCAAGAGATAGACGAGAAGAGTTCAGTCAAAACAGGAGAGCTGTGCAAAGGCTTAGGAGATATGCCAGGCTTCGACAGAAAACAATAACAAAGCCTCAAGTAATCAATTTCTGACCGCTAATGACTTAGCAATGAGGGGATAAAAGCCTCAAGTTTGGGATATGTAGTCAGATGAAGCATCGTTTAGAATCACGCCAAGTTCTTGTCCTTGTTTTTTGGAAACCTTGCTTTGAAGTTTTGTGCTAAGATATTTCTTGTTCATGATTTTGGATTCTTACGTTTCATTATTGCTTACCCAAGCCTTGGATCAATGTATTCCTGATATTTTTGGATTGTATTGGAGAGGTGTGGACTTTGCTGTTATGGACGTTGCGGAACTCTACCTTGGACTAATTTGTTCCTGCTTACCTTCTTACCTAATTGGATTTACCTATTTCCTTAAAGTGCTTTTTACTTTACTGCTTTTTACTTATCTTATATAAATAAAAATGTAATGTTCATTTGTGGGATTAACATAACTCAAAAACCACTGGACGAATAGACACCAAATTTGGACACAAGACACCTAACAACCCAATGTATGTCCTTCACACAAAAAATGATTTTGTCATTTGGGAATTGTAGTTGCTGGGATTTATAGTTCACCTACAATCAAAGAGCATTCTGAACCCCACCATCGATGGAATTGAACCAAACTTGGCACACAGTTCTCCCATGACTAACAGAAAATACTGGAAGGGTTTGGTGGGCAGTGTCCTTTGGTTTTGGAGTTGTAGTTCACCTACATCCAGAGAGCTCTGTGGACTCAAACAATGATGGATCCAGACCAAACTTGGCACGAATACTCCATATGCCCAAATGTGAACACTGGTGGAGTTTGGGGAAAATAGAATCTTGACATTCGGGAGTTGTAGCTGCTGGGATTCATAGTAAAATGATGGGATTCATAGTAAAAAAAAATGATGATGTTTTTATTGTACTGATTTGTACTATTTTAATATGTATTGACCTGTAATTGTTGTTTTATATGATTGTATTTGATATGCACTGTAAACCGACCTGAGTCCCTCACCGAGGTTGAGAAGGCCGGTATAGAAATCTTCTAAATAAATAAATAAATAAAATAATAGTACACCTACAATCACAGAGCATTCTGAACTCCACCAATAATAGAATTGGGCCAAACCTCCCACACAGAACCCCCATGTGGGCCACAGCAACGCATGGCAGGGGACGGCTAGTCTTCAATAGAATGATTTTTTTCCTATTCAATGTGTGGTGTTTAAAGTCAGAGGGTTATTCCTGTTCTGGAATGCAACAATACTGTGGCTTGATAACAAACACTGAAATTCAGAAAAGGGGATTTTTCGAAGCAGAGAAAGTCCTGCAAGCTTGGTTTCCTTCCAAAATCCATCCCGTTCACTAGGGGATGTTAGAACTAGATAAATAGCCCCAATCTCCAGCGTAAAGGACATGTGATGTGAATGTGTGCAAGGAGGGGCGGTTGGATCCCGAATGCTTCTGTTACGGGTCAATCAATCAGCAAAGGAAACCCTTTCGTTTCAAAGATTTCTCTCCAAACTCAAGGGATTCATTCTCGCTTCCAAACTCTTATCCTGGGATCATGGCTCTGTGGAATCTCTCCCTTCTGTTTGGATTCTCGGTCCTTTGGACCAGGCTCAGTTTGCACCATGCATTTCCAGACGGTGCACCTTCATCCGCCTGTGGAAACATGTTGCCTTTGCACATGGGGACCCAACCACAGACATCTCCAGCCCCTTACGAATTCCTGGTCAGCTCACCATCTTTCTCAAATGGTCAGCCGATCGATGGTAAGTGTTCCTTGCCTTTTAGTTGTTGTTATACTTATCGATGAAAGTTATTCCTGAAATGTCCACAGCTGTTCAAACAAACGTGGACTCTCTGTCCTTCCATGAAATAATATTATATATACATACACACACACACACACACACACACATCAGCCAATACATATGCCCACACCTATATCTAGGCATCCCCAGTAGTGCAGTGGGTTAAAGCGCTGAGCTGCTGAACTTGCTGATTGAATGCCTGCAGGTTCGAATCCGGGGACCGGCATGAGCTCCCACTGTCAGCCCCAGCTTCTGCCAACCTAGCAGTTCAAAAACAAGCAAATGCTTAGAAAATTTAGCAGTAAATGTTAATATTATAATATGTAAAAGATTGTGGTGGCTCAGTGGATTAAACTGCTGAGCTGCTGAACTTGCTGATCAATAGGATCTGGGGAGCGGGGTGAGCTCCTGCTGTTAGCCCTAGCTTTTGCCAACCTAGTGGTTCAAAAACATGCAAATGTGAGTAGATCAATAGGTACCGCTCTGGCGGGAAAGTAACGGTGCTTCATGCAGTCATGCCATCCACATGATCTTGGAGGTGTCTATGGATAATGCCAGCTCTTCGGCTTAGAAATTGAGATGAGCACCAGAGTCCCAGAGTCGGACACAACCAGACTTAATGTCAGGGCAAAATCTTTACCTTTACCTATACCTATGTATAGTTAGGGGTGAATATTAAGTTATTCTTGTTATGTCCACAGCTGTTCAATCAAATGCTGACTCCTGTGACTCCTGACCTTCCATGAAATTTACTAACCACACACACACATATGAGGGTGGGTCAAAACATTTTTCCTCCTGTAATACAGTTCCTCATGTTGTGGCGACCCCCAACCATAACGTTATTTTCGTTACTACTTCAGAACTGTCATTTTGCTCCTGTTATGAATCATAATATAACTATCCAATATGGAGGATGTATTTTCATTTACTGGACCAAATTTGGCACAAATACCCAATAAGCCCACATTTGAATTCTGGTGAGGTTGGAGTTGTCATTTGGGAGTTGTAGCTGCTGGAATTTACAGTTCACCTACAACCACAGAGCATTCAGAACACCATCAATGATGGAACTGAACCAAACTTGGCACACAATACTCCCATGACCAACAGAAAATACCATACTGGAAGGGTTTGGTGGGCATTGACCTTGAGTTTTGGAGTTGTAGTTCACCTATATCCAGAGAGAACTGTGGACTTAAACAATAATAAATCTGGTCCAAAATTGGCACGAATCCTCAATATGCCCAAATATGAACACTGGTGAAGTTTGGGGAAAATAGACCTTGACATTTGGGAGTTGTAGTTGCTGGGATTTATAGTTCACCAACAATCCAAGAGCATTCTGAACCCCACCATCGATTGAATTGGGCCAAACTTCCCACACAGAGACCCCCATGACCAACAGAAAATACTGTGTTTTCTGATGGTCTCTGGCGACCCCTCTGACACCCCTTTGTGACCCCCACAGGGGTCCCGACTCCCAGGTTGAGAAACACTGTTATAAATGAACCTATAACAGCAGAAGTTGCTCCAGATCCTTGCCTGAACTGTCATCTACACAAAACTACTATTCAGCATAGTCACCATCAGTCTGTACACCTTTGCGGCATTGTTTAATCCAGGCATCAAAACCATTTTGGAAAAATTCAGGGTTTTGCTTCGTGACCTGTGATTTTAAAGCTGTTCCAATGTCATTCAATGTCAGGCTACACAGAGAAGCCAGAGGTCCTCTGAAAGACAACCTATGCAGTTTCAGATTCAATGACTCGAATCATAATAATAGGAATAATAATCTTTCTCCAGTTCAGATCACAGGGTCCGAATACAGGGGCGTGCTGCTGGAGGCCCGGACGTTTGCTTCCCCGGCTGCATTGGGTTTCTGGCAAACTCCTCCCAACAACACCCAACTATTAGCGGTAAGAGCCATTATAATCCAAGTTTCCAAATATCTTAGTTCTTTCTTTATGCTTTCCATGTGGGCGGAACAGGGGCGGCTCGTCCATTACGCGAAGTAAGCGGTCGCAGAACACTTTTTTTTTTGCCAGGGGCGCAGAGGCGCCTCTGTAAATGCCCCTTGACTGCCACTTGAGGAGCGCCCCCTCAGCTCACAACAGCCCTCGCAGTCTGGAGGGGGGGAGCCTTGGCTTTCTTGCCTTGCTACCGGGCGATCCTCTTCCCAAAGGGGCCGGGCCCTTGAGCCTCGCCTCGCCCCTCTCATTCCTGCTCCACCTGGCTACCGGGTGCGTGAGCAGAGCCGGCACTCAATCGTTCTCCACGTTCGATCCCTTTCCCATGACCGGCTCCCTTTCCCGATCCCCCGGCGCTCCACCCGCCTCCTCTCCTCTCCCCAATCTGTGGGTGGGCCAAGGGGCGGAGCCACCGCGCCTGGCCCGCTTCGGGTCCAGAGGCGTGTCTGAAGACCCCAGCGTGCGCACCAAAAGTCGCCTCTTCTCCTGACTTTCTCTTCAGCCATTGGGACCAAGAGAGAGAGAGAGAGAGAGAGAGAGAGCCCCTCTGGCTGGAGATATATCCCACCTCTGCTCCCTCCTTTGTTTTTGTGCCTACATTCAGGAAAGGTGGGCCTCTCCACCTCTCTCTCTCTCTCTCTCTCTCTCTCTCTCTCTTGGTCCCAATGGCTGAGGAGAAAGTCAGGAGAAGAGGTGACTTTTGGTGCACACGCCGGGGTCTTCAGGCATGCCTCCGGACCCAAAGCGGGCCAGGCAAGGGAGCAAGTGCGGCAAGTGTAGTTACTGGGATGTATAGTTCACCTACAATCAAAGAGCATTCTGAACTCCACCAATGATGGAATTGAACCAAATATGGCACACAGAACTCCCACGATGAACAGAAAATATATATCAATGATTGGTTGGGGGGGGGGGGCGCCAAAATACTGTTTGCTTACCGTTGAAAATTACCTAGGGCCGCCTCTGGGGAGGAATTGCAACTCTTATCATCCTTGTGTAAACTGTAGATGGTGGATTATGTAGTACTGCTTTAAGGTGCTGAAGCAAGTGAGTTGGATGAAAAACCGCTCTATACTCTACCATACTGAAGGAAATGTGCAAGATTTGCATTCACTAGTGGTAAGCTATATTAATGCTCTACAGGGCTGTATCCATGCTGTAGAATGAATGCAGTCCTACACCACTTTTGCCCAATGCTATCAAATCCTGGGATTTGTAGTTTGCAGAGATACCTTGCCTCTCTTTGCAGAGAAGGCAAAAGACATTGTAAAACTAGAGCTCCAAAGATTCCAAAACACTTAAAGTTACAAGAAGAAGAAAGAAATCAGACAACGAAAGGGGGGGCGGGAATCAGTTCTATCGATGGGCAGTGAATTAGCAATAATCATCGGTCAATATTTCTGCCCAACACAAGAAAAGTGACAAATCTGAGCTTTGTTTTCAAATATACAAGAACTCAATGGATGTTTTTCCCCTTTGCAGTGTTTTGGACGGCCGGACAGTGCCGTCACTCATTCCAACACCAACTTGAAAACCAAAGAGGCGACTTACACATGGTTTCCGCCGAACAAAGACTGTCCTAAAGTAGTGTTCTTTGTGTAAGTTACATACTGAAGTTTTGTAATGGGTTTACTGGGAAATTGCTTATGTGTTAGTGGAAGGTGTGGGTTGGTGCTACAAAAGGTGCTCTCGCTATTCGGCTTGTTCGTTTATTTATTATTTATTAATTTACAGTATTTAAATTCCACCCTTCTTCTCACCCCGCAGGGGACTCAGGGTGAATCCAATGCACACATACATGGCAAACATTCAATGCCATAGACACACAACATATATAAACAAACGCAGAGGCAATTTAATATTCCAGCTACATGAGGGTATGTTCGAATTCCGGCCACCAGGAGAGCTGTCGCTTCACAGTCCACTTGTGACACCGAGTCCTTGATGGAGTACTTCCTCACTCTTTTGCACGCTGCTGGAGATTTTTATGGCGTCGTAAATTAGTTAAGTTAGCCTCCTCGTATAAGCGGTACCTAAATTTCCTACTTGGCAGATGCAACTGTCTTTCGGGCTGCAAAGGTCAACAGCAAGCTAGACAAATGGTCGGGAGCTTACTCTGACCTGGGCTGACTTCGAACGCATGACCTTTTGGTCAGTGGTGATTTAATGCAGCTGATTCCTAGACGCCACAGCCTGTGTCCATTACATTCTTGTCTTTTTCTCTCTCACTTCCCAGTTATGACCTAAAGCAGTGGTTCTCAACTTGTGGGTCCCCAGATGTTTTTGGCCTTCAACTCCCAGAAATCCTAACAGCTGGTAAACTGGCAGGGATTTCTGGGAGTTGTAGGTCAAAAACATCTGGGGACCCCAGGTTGAGAACCACTGACCTAAAGGCAAGTTGATCAAAAATTAAGTAGAGCCTTTCCCAATGTTTACCATCCTTGTGGGAGGGTTCTCTAATTTCTCCACTTGGTGAGCTGGAGCTGACAGAGGGAGCTCAACCTGCTCTCCCTGGATTCGAACCTCTGACCTATCAATCAGTAGTCCTGCCAGCACAAGGGTTGAACCCATTGCGCCACTGGGAGTTCCTTGCATCTCGTGGTGCCAGATCTCAGACTGTTCAGCACCTTCCAAGTTTCTCAGCCTCATCTGGTATCAGTCAGTGATACTTACTTAGAATCTTAAGATGAATTTATTTATTTATTTATTTATTTATTTACAGCTTTTACCCAGGGCGGATTACAGTGTACACATATATGGCAAACATTCAATGCCAATTTTCGACATACAAACATATACAGACATACACAGAGGCTATTTAACTTTTTCTGGGAGCTGTCGCTTTCATCGTCCATCTGCGACGCTGATGAAGCACTTCCGCATTCCCCGCATGCTTCCCCGCTGGAATGCTTTGCTGGAGTCTTCTTTATGGCCTCATAAATCAGTTCATTTAGCCTCCCCACACTTTTTAAGGTGGTACCTAATTTTCCTACTTGACAGATGCAACTGTCTTTCGGGTTGCAAAGGTCGACAACAGGCTACACACAATTGGTTGGAAACCCACTCCAACCCGGGCTGGCTTCGAACTCATGACCTTTAGGTCAGAGTGATCTTAATGCAGCTGACATTCAGCCAGCTGCGCCACAATCCCGGTGAAAGCACACGTTTGCATTTTAGATGGATTAGGAATCATTTGGTTTTCCCTGTAATAAGCAGTAAGAGCACCTAAAGATTCAGAGAAACTCTCCTTCAACTTGGAAGCAATTATAGAATCCTAGAGTTGGAAGAGACCCCCTGGGCCATCCAGTCCAACCCCATTTTGCCAAGAAGCAGGATAATCGCATTCAAAGCACCCCCGAAAGATGGCCATTCACCACACTCCGAGGCAGAGAGTTCCACTGCTGAACAGCTCTCCCAGTCAGGAAGTTCTTCCTCATGTTCAGATGGAATCTCCTTTCCTGTAGTTTGAAGCCATTGTTCTGTTGCATCCTAGTCTCCAGGGAAGCAGAAAACAAGCTTGCTCCCTCCTCCCTATGACTTCCCCTCACATATTTATACATGTCTCCTCTCAGCCTTCCTCTGCAGGCTAAACATCCCCAGCTCTTTAAGCCGCTCCTCATAGGGCTTGTTCCCCAGACCCTGGATCATTTGAGTCACCCTCTTTCTCTGGACACATTCCAGCTTGTCAATATCACTCTTTCATCCACGCTGCAGAATGAGTGCGGCTTCTTCAGGCTTAAACATCCCCAGCTCTTTAAGCCGCTCCTCATAGGGCTTGTTCTCCAGACCCTGGATCATTTGAGTCACCCTCTTTCTCTGGACACATTCCAGCTTGTCAATATCACTCTTTCATCCACGCTGCAGAATGAGTGCGGCTTCTTCAGGCTTAAACATCCCCAGCTCTTTAAGCCGCTCCTCATAGGGCTTGTTCTCCAGACCCTGGATCATTTGAGTCACCCTCTTTCTCTGGACACATTCCAGCTTGTCAATATCACTCTTTCATCCACGCTGCAGAATGAGTGCGGCTTCTTCAGGCTTAAACATCCCCAGCTCTTTATACATGGCCCTCATAATGTCTCCTCTCAGCCTTCTCTTCTTCATGCTAAACATGCCCAGCTCTTTAAGCCACTCCTCATAGGGCTTGTTCTCCAGACCCTGGATCCTTTGAGTTGCCCTCCTCTGGACACATTCCAACTTAGAGTCAACATCTCCCTTCAGTTGTGGTGTCCAAAATTGGACACAGTGTGATTCCAGGTGTGTATTCGTATAGGATCTCTTCTCAAGATATTTTCGTTGTTGTCATTACATTCTGCAAGGGCTTGATTATTTGAAATTGCAATATTTCTGCATCAGAGCAACTAAAGGACAGAAAGAGTTTTATTTTAGAATACCATTTGCATGGATAGAATGCTTTGCAAAGACGCTCTCCCTTTTCCTATTGATCCAGATATTATGAATGAATTTTCAATAACTTTGAAGCATAGGTTCTTTTTATTGCAATTTCCAGTGTGAGAAGATATATCAGATTACAGAAAACTTTTAGACAAAGAATGACATTGGACAGACAGACATACAGATGCTATGCAACTATATTGGATTCACAATTACATTGCTTAACAAACAAACAAACAAAGGGGAATTGCATTTTCACTCAGCATTCACACACCTTTATTATTTATTTATTTCTGCTGCTTATACCCCGCCCTTCTCACCCCCGAGGGGGGACTCAGGGCGGCTTACAAAAAGAAGGCACAATTCGATGCCCTTATCCAAATACATACAAATATAAAAACAATTACAATAGTTAAACAATTAACAGATTAAAAACATCAATATATAACAATAGCACAACAATAAACAGTCTCATGGTCAGTGTTTCGAGTTCCATAGGTCCAATAGGTTTCGTCATTATTTGCCCATCATTATGGTCTTTCTTTTTAGCTGCCAGAGTTTCCAAAAGCCTGGTCCCACATCCAAGTTTTCAGCTTTTTCCTGAATGAGAGAAGGGAAGTCGCTGATCTGATCTCCCCGGGGAGTGAGTTCCACAGGTGGGGGGCCACTACTGAGAAGGCCCTGCTCCTCGTCCCCGCCAGTCTCACTTGTGATAAAGGCGGGGTCGAGAGCAGGGCCTCCCCAGAAGATCTTAGACTCCGAGGTGGGATGTAGAGGGAGATCCGTTCGGACAGATACACTGGGCCGGAACCGTATAGGGCAGTGGTTCTCAACCTTCCTAATGCTGCGACCCCTTAATACAGTTCCTCATGTTGTGGTGACCCCCAACCATAACCCTAACATTATGAATCGCCATGTAAATAATGATCTGCAGGATGTATTTTCATTCACTGGAGCAAATTTGGCACAAATACCCGGTATGCCCAAATTTGAATATTGGTGGGGTTGGCGGGGGGATTGATTTTGTTATTTGGGAGTTGTAGTTGCTGGGATTTATAGTTAACATGTAAACAAAGAGCATTCTGAACCCCACCAACAATGGAATTGAATCAAAGTTGGTACAGAGAACTCCCATGATCAACAGAAAATACTGGAAGAGTTTGGTGGGCATTGACCTTGAGTTTGGGAGTTGTAGTTTGCCTACATCCAGAGAGCACTGTGGGCTCAAACAATGATGGATCTGGACCAAACTTGACACGGATACTCAGTATGCCCAAATATAAACACTGATGGGATTTGGGAAAAATAGACTTTGACATTTGGGAGTTGTAGATACTGGGATTTGTAGTTCACCTACAATCAAGGAGCATTCTGAACCCCACCAATGGTAGAATTGGGCCAAACTTCACACACAGAACCCCCATGACCAACAGAAAATATGGCGTTTTCTGATGGTCTTTGGTGACCCCTCTGACACCCCTTTGCGACCCCCTCAGGGGCGATACACTGGGCCAGAACCGTATAGGGTTTTGTAGGTCAAAACCAGCACCTTGAATTGTGCTCGGAATTGGATCGGCAGCCAGTGGAGCTGGCATAACAGGGGGGTGGTATGCTCCCTGTATGCCGCTCCGGTGAGCAATCTGGCTGCCTCCCGTTGGACTAGTTGAAGTTTCCGAGCAGTCTTCAAAGGCAACCCCACGTAGAGTGCGTTGCAGTAATCCAACCGGGATGTGACAAGAGCGTGGACCACCGTGGCCAGATCCGACTTCCCACATGTACATGCATTCATCCACATGCATCCAAATATTACCATATCCTTTTCTCCCTCCTTGGAGAAGCACCTGTAAGGCCAGACCCTGCTTTCCTGCAGCCTGCCAACGCATAGTTCCATAACTTCCATAACGCCATAATGTCAAAACGCCGAAATGCCAAAACTTCTTTCCCTAAGAACAGTGCCAAGGACCAGACCTCTGTTTTCCATACAGCAGAACCTGAATCCCTGCACAAAATCTAAAACTCCAAAAGCGTACTTCTTCCTCTTCCCTTGAGAAAGAAGCCCCAAAGTGTCCAGAATCATGCTTTCCCAGAGCATATCTGACACTCTCCAAATACACCACCTCTCTCCTTCCCATGGAGCAGAGCATGGCGGGTGGATCAGACTCCTCGGTCTGCCACGATTTGAGCATTATTAGCCTGAGTCTTTTATAGGAAAATTCTGTTGATGTAGTCCCAAACTTGTAAATTAATGATAGACATCTTCCATCCTGGATCCATCTCAGTTTTGATCTTCTTGATTGGTGTTGATCTTCTGTTGACTTCCTTCTTAACATAAGGAAGGTTGCAAACATTTCCTTTATCACTGTCCCAGTTCTTATCAGAGTTTACTCTTCAGATCTCCTTAATAGGATTTAATCACAAAGCAGCAGGCAGGAAGTTGGTCACTGCAGGCCTTAATATTATACTGGTGTTCCCAAAATTATTAACTCCATCCATACAACTTCCATTCTTCCATTCATTCCCACACATCATATTAAATTCACATTTATCAAATTTGCACATTGAATTTCTTATTACACAGAGCGACCGTGGCTCAGTCTTACGACATCTACTGGACCAACGTGAAATCCAAAGTGGTTTGGAGAAGTGAGTAAATCCCCATTTTATGGTTTGAAACTATGGTGTTTAAAAGAAACTAGAAAATAGACTTCATCCTTATTATTGTTGTTGTTATTATTATTATTATTATTATTATGTTTACTTATATCCTGCTTTTTCTCTCCATAAGGAGACTCAAAGCAGCTAACAGTAAAAACATCATAATGTAGAAATATACAATATTAATGGATGGTATCCTTGAAGTGACTGGATTGACCTTGAAGGAGCTGGGGGTGGTGACGACCGACAGGGAGCTCTGTCGTGGACTGGTCCATGAAGTCATGAAGAGTCGGAAACGACTGAACGAATGAACAACAACAACAAAAACAATATCAGTGGTTTTATTGCACTGAAATGCAACCCGCCTGCTCTTGTATTACCAAAAAGAGCCACATCTACTGGTTTAACAGGTTGAGATGTGTTCCACACTGGGCATGCATACTCAGCAGCAGAGTAGCCAAGCACAAGGGCAGATGCCATCATTGTGTCTGGTTGTGATCCCCAGGTTGTGCCAGTCAGCCTTCGTATTATATTATTTCTAGCGCCCACTTTTTGCTTGTTATTCAAGCAATGCTTCTTGTAGGTCAGAGCACAATCCAGGGTAACTCCCGGGAGTTTTGGTGTGCTGCAATGCTCCAGTGGGGTTCCTTCCCAGGTGATTCTCAGAGCTCAAGATGCTTGTCTGTTCTTAAGGTGAAAAGCACGTCTGTGTTTTAGATGGAATAGGAATCAGCTGGTTTTCCCTGTAATAAGCAGTAAGAGCTTCTGTTCAACCGTCTCAAAGCTCCCTGCTTGGGTGGTGATGGCATGATCGTCAGCATAGATTAAACTCTTTATCCCTTCTGGCAGTGGCTGGTCATTTGTGTAAATGTTGAACATTGATTTATTTATTTATCGTGTCAGGAACAACCAGACATTTGTATTACATTTTTAACAAAACAACCTATCCTGAGCCCTGCCATATGCACAATGGAGGACCTCTTTGCGGCAACACCAGAGGCACTCCAAGTAGCCAGATACTGGTCAAAGGACATTTAATCAACTACCAAGCTTGCAAACTTTGTGTTTTGTCTGTCTGTTTGTTTGTTTTGAACATTGATGAAGCAAGCATACTCTCCTGAGGCAGGCCGTTCTTCTGTTTTCACCATTTGCTTCTCTGACCCTGGAACTCAACAAAAAAGCTCCTGTTTTGTAGCAGATTTCCTATAAGCGGATGAGGTAGTCATCCTTTGTGATATTATACATTTTTCTCAGGAGGAGGCAATGGTTTACAGTATCATAAGCTGCTGAAAGGTCTATAAAAGCAGCTCCTGGAATCTGCTGTCTTTCAAAACCATCTTCTGCGTGCTGAGTGAGGTTCAACAGTTGTGATGTGCAGCTTTCAAAGCAAGGACTGTGCAATTAAACAGGAAATACACTGAGGATGCTTGCCATAGATTCAGGCAAAACGTAGGAGAGAATGCCTCTAGGCCAGTGGTTCTCAACCTTCCTAATGCCATGACCCCTTAATACAGTTCCTTATGTTGTGGTGACCCCCAACCATCACATTATTTTCTTTGCTATTTCACAACTGTAATTTTGCTCCTGTTATGAATCATCTTGTAAATATCCAATATGCAGGATATATTTTCATTCATTTGGAACAAATGCTCACTACACCCAAATTTGGATACTGATGGGGTTGAGGGGGGACTGATTTTGTCATTTGAGAGTTGTAGTTGCTGGGATTTATAGTTCACCTATAATCATTCTGAACTCCACCAAGGATGGAACTGAACCAAACTTGGGACACAGAGCTCCCATGACCAACAGAAAATACTAGCAGGGTTTGGTGGGCATTGACCTTGGGTTTTGGAGTTGTAGTTCACCTACATACAGAGAGCACAGATGCATCTGGACCAAACTTGGCACAAATACTCAATATGCCTGAATGTGCACACTGGTGGGGTTTGGGGAAGATAGACCTTGACATTTGGGAGCTGTAGTTGCTGGGATTTATAGTTCACCTAAAATACAAGCGCATTCTGAACTCCACCAATGACAGAATTGGACCAAAACTCCCACACAGAACCCCCACGGCCATCAGAAAATACTGTGTTTTCTAATTGTCTTTTGCGACCCCTCTGACACCCTCTCGCGACCCCCCCCCCAGGTTGAGAAACACTGCCATATAGCCTGAAAAACCCACAACAACCCAGGAAATACACTTTTCAAACCAGGAACAGAAAAATCTTCAAATTTTGTTGTTGTTGGTGTTATTGTTATTATTATTATTCCCCACTATTTCTTTCTGCAAGGCAACTCTCTATGTGATTTGCAACATGTTGCTTCCAAGCTCTGTTTGGGAAAATACTTTGCTTTTGTTTGGTCTGATGCTTGAAACTTGGGCAACTCTGGAGGATCTGGGCCACTACTAAAATATATGTATTATTCTCTGTATTGTTTACCTCTGACGGATAACATTTCCTTTCTTTTCCAACACGACAGACAAAGAAGCAACGTGTGGAGGAAGGTCCTTTGCAAGCAACGTCAATGGAATCGTGGTCTTCTCTCTGCTTCTGAGTTTGCTGGGATACAATTAGGAACCAGTGCATTCAGATCTATACTATGGAATAATTATTATTCGTCAATTAAAACAGAAGTCATACCCCCAAAGCTTTGTTGCCCCATGTCATTACAATTAACATGCATCCTCAGCTATGCTTCCTGCTGTAACCAGATCTATTTCTATAGAAGGATGCATAATGAACTATATATACCGCAAGAGGGGAAACTAATATACAATTGCCGCACTGCATCTGCAGCCTTCAAAAGTTGGAATAAACAACATCACGGGTTCGTTGTTTTGTAATGATGGATTGCTCCCTCCTTCTTTATTACTCTCAGCCATGTTTTGGAAGCTAAATAGCTGGAACATGGCCATACAGCCTGGAAAACTCACAGCAACCCAGTAAATAAATATAATAACCCAGTATGTATATATATATATAGAGAGAGAGAGAGTTATTATATTTATAATAAACATAATAAATATATATTATAATATATTATTATATTAAGTTATATTTATTGTTGTTATATTTATTATTATATTATATTTATTATTATAATATTATAATAAATATCATATATAGCAACCCAGTAAATATTATTTTGCCATCTTAATTATTCAGATCTCTCTCTGAGCTAAACTGAGTGGGAAAATACAATGAAGCCTTTCACCCTGGGATAGAAATCATACAGCCTTCTCAATATTCCTGTATGCAGACTCTCAACATTCCTCTCCAATATCAAAGAGCACTCTAATAATAATAATAATAATAATAATAATAATAATAATAATAATAATAATAATGACTGTGCCTTGTACCTGGACTTAACATAATTCCATCTATCTTAATATACTGGTCATTTTCTAATTGTGTCCCTGCTTCATTGCTTAAATTATTCACAAAATGTCTGAGGAATACTTTGTTGTCATTAATGTTATTGTAATTTATTTGCATAATCATCATCATTATTTTATTTATTTATTTATTATTGAGCTTTAATTATTATTTGAGTCTCTTTTTTTAGAGAGAATAAGCGGTATATAAATATTATTATTTGAAATATCACAAGATGAGTCCACAGCAGACACTCTGCTTATTTATTTATTTTTAGAGAGAAAAAGTGGTATATAAATATTATTATTATTTGAAACATCACAAGATGAATCCACAGCACTCTATTTATTTATTTGTAGAGAAAAAGCAGTATATAAATATTATTATTATGTGAAATATCACAAGATGAGCCCACAGCAGACACTCTTATTTATTTTAGAGAAAGTGGTATATAAATATTATTATTTGAAACATCACAAGATGAATCCACAGCAGATACTCTTATTTATTTATTTGTAGAGAAAAAGTGGTATATAAATATTATTATTATTTGAAAYATCACAAGATGARTCCACAGCAGAYACTCTTATTTATTTRTTTTTAGAGAGAAAAAGTGGTATATAAATATTATTATTATGTGAAATATCACAAGATGAGTCCACAGCAGACACTCTTATTTATTTATTTTTAGAGAGAAAAAAGTGGTATATAAATATTATTTGAAACATTACAAGATGAGTCCACAGCAGACACTCTTATTTATTTATTTTTAGAGAAAAAGTGGTATATAAATATTATTATKTGAAATATCACAAGATGAGTTCACAGCAGACACCCTGCTTATTATTTATTTATTTATTTTAGAGTGAAAARGCGATTTATAATAATAATAATAATAATCATYRTTATTATTATTTGAAACATCACAAGATGAGTCCACAGCAGACACTCTGCTTATTATTTATATACCGCTTTTTCTCTCTAAAAGAGAGACTGAAATAATAATTAAAGCTCAACAAACCAGTCAAGGGGGTCCCAGTGGTGATCAGCACACTGGGTGCAGTGTCTAAAGACCTTGGCCTACACTTAAAAACAATCGGCACCGACAAAATTACCACCTGTCAGCTGCAATAGGCCACCTTACTAGGATCTGCATGCATTATTCGCCGATACATCACACTGTCCTAGACACTGGGGAAGTGTCCAACGTGTGATCCAATGCAACAGCCAGCAGAGTGATCTTGTTATGTATCAAATAATAATAATAGTCCCCGCTATGCTGCTGAGAACTGCCATCCAAACATGATTCTCCATACCTTGGTATTTCAACCACATTTTGCACAAAAGACAGCTTGTTTCCATAATATGCATTCATTTCCATTTGAATGTCAGCACTGCAACTTGGAAAACGATTAAAAGAACGGTCAAATTTTGCAGGCAATGTCCCCATGAGTTATGGCCACCACAGACAGAGACAAGCACTCTCTTTTATTATAATTTATTAATATTTATTATGATAGATTTCAATGTTGATCATTAGTAGACTCTCTTTTTCTTCCACTTCCCAAGCGCACAGTCGATACACTTCAACAAAATCCATGTCCGAGCAACAACAGTCCAAGATCCATAGGTTTTAATCAATGTTCTCCAAGCCCTGAAAAATACAAAATATGACAAAATATTCCAGTGGTTCTCAATCACCTAATGCTGCGACCCCTTAATACAGTGCTTCATGTTGTGGTGACCCCCAACCAGAAAATTATTTTTGTTGCTACTTCATAACTGTAATGTCACTACTGTTATGAATCATAATGTAAATATCTGATATGCAGGATGTACTTTCATTCACTGGACGAAATTTGGCACAAATACACGATATGCCTGAATTTGAATACTGGTGGGGTTGGAGGGGGTATTGATTTTGTCACTTGGGAGTTGTAGCTGCTGGGATTTATAGTTCAGCTACAATCAAAGAACATTCTTAACTCCACCAACAATGGGACTGAACCAAACTTGGCACACAGAATTCCCCATGACCAACAGAAAATACTGGAAGGGTTTGGTGGGCATTGACCTTGAGTTTTGGAGTTATAGTTCAACTACATCTAGAGCACTGTGGACTTCAACAGTGATAGCTCTGCACCAAACTTGGCAAGAATATTCAATATGCCCAAATGTAAACACTGGTGGAATATAGGGAAAATAGACTTTGACACTTGGGAGCTGCAGTTGCTGGGATTTATAGTTCATCTACAAACAAAGAGCATTGTGAACCCCACCAATGAGAGAATTGGACCAAACTTCCCACACAAAACCCCCATGACCAGCAGAAAATACTGTGTTTTCTAATGGTCTTTGGTGACCCCTCTAGCAACCCCTCACGCCCCCCCCCCCGGGGTCCCGACCGCCAGGTTGAGAAACACTGAAATATGCTAATCTGTTATGACATTCATAACACTGCTACTCTCAAGTAAAATTATGCAATGAGGCTTAGCAACTAAAGTCTTCCAAAATATTACTTTTCTCAATCCCACTCTCAGAATAACATTCTGATTTTATAATCAAACTGCAAGGCTTTATATAAAACCATATAACATGATTTTTGTTCCTGGGTTTTAAATGTCATTTCCTAATTGGTTCTATCATAAAAAAACAGGGGGGGGGGGAATGTATTAAACTGCACAAACTTTGTCATTTGACGTTTCGCTCTAGTTTTTCAATGAATCCCATAGAGTCCCAACCAAATTCAACATAATTTGTGGCACAAAAACAACGACTTTCAAAGTAAACATTGTACAATTAAGGAGGAAATAACCATTTCGAATCAGGAACATAACATTTTTCAAACTAATGGAAATCGACACGAGAGAAATGGGAGATGGTTGCCAGCTACAAAACGCGCTAACATCACAGAGGAAGCCTGCTGTTGTTCTAGGGCCAAATGGTTAATTCCTTCAAACTAATTGGGAAAGCAAAATAATAATAATAATAATAATAATAATAATAATAATAATAATTATAAAGGTAAAGGTAGTCCCCTGACATTAAGTCCAGTCATGTCTGACTCTGGGGTGTGGTGCTCATCTCCATTTCTAAGCCGAAGAGCCAGCGTTGTCCGTAGACACCTCCAAGGTCATGTGGCCGGCATGACTGCATGGAGCGCCGTTACCTCCCGCCGGAGCGGTACCTATTGATCTACTCACATTTGCATGTTTTCGAACTGCTAGGTTGGCAGAAGCTAGGGCTGACAGCGGAAGCTCACGCCGCTCCCCGGAATCGAACCTGCGACCTTTCGATCAACAAGCTCAGCAGCAGCTCAGTGCTTTAACCCACTGAGCCACCGGGGGCTCCTCAGTATATTGTATTACATTATAATAATAATACTTTATTTGTACCCCGCTACCATCTCCCCAAGGGACTCGGTGCGGCTTAAGTGAGGCCGAGCCCACAATACAACAATAAACAATAGCAACAGTAATACAAAACAATAAATGAACTCATAAGCAAAAAATAAGCAATAAAGAATTTAAATAAATTATTTAAATCTATTTAATTATAACATGATTATAATATATAAATAATTTAAATAATTAAATAATTATTTAAATTATTTAAATATTATTATCATGTTAATAATAAATTAAGAGGACTTTGTGTTGTCATGGCCGGAATCACTGGGTTGCTGTGAGTTTTCAGGGCTGTATAGACAAACGTTAAGAGAGAATGCTTCTGGAACATGGCTATTCAGCCTGGAAAACTTACAGCAACCCACTAAGAGTTGTTGGGCCAGAGTGAAGAGAGAGGGGGCCAGGGGACAGTTCCGCACTGTCTCCTGTGCTATGCTAATAATATAATATAATATAATATAATCTATATAAATAAAAATGTAATGTTCGTTTGTGGGATTAATAGAACTCAAAAACCACTGGGGGAATTGACACCAAATTTGGACACTATACCCCTAACAGACCAACAAGTGACCATCGCTCATAAAAAAAACCCCAAAACAGAAGAAAGGACTTAAAAACCCAAAAAAGTTAAATGACATACAGAAAAAATGGAAAGAAGAGGAAGTAAGGGAGGGGAGAAAGAAAGAAAGAAGCATGGAAGCAAAGAGCAAAGGAAGGAAGGAAAGAGGTAGAGAAGGAAGGAAGGAGAGAAAGTAGTAGGAAAAGAAAAAGGGGGGAAGGAAGGAATGAGGTAGAAAAGGAAGGAGAGAAAGAAAGGAAAGGGGAAGGAAAGAAAGATGGAGTGAAGGAAGGAGGGAAAGAAGGAGAGAAAGAGGAAGGGAAGAAGGAAAGAAAGAAGGAACGGTGGAAGCAAAAAGCGAAGGAAGGAAGGAAAGAGGAATGAGGAAGGAAGGTGAGAAGGAAAGAAGAAAGCAGAAGAAATAAATGAAAGAAGGAGCAAAGGAAGGAGGGAAAGAAGGAGAGAAAAAGGCGGGGAAGGTTGGCCACAGCAACGCGTGGTGGGTACAGCTAGTATAATATAATATATTGTATATACCTATAATATTTATATTATAATGTACTACAATATAATAATAATAATATATTTTATATTACACATAATATTACTAATAATATTACAATATAATGGTATAGTACAATATAATGATATATGATACTGATATTGTACTATGCTAATAATATAATATATTGTATGTATATACATCTTGTAAGCCGCTCTGAGTCCCCTTCGGGGTGAGAAACACCTCCAAGGTCATGTGGCCGGCATGACTGCATGGAGCGCCGTTACCTTCCCGCCGGAGCGGTACCTATTGATCTACTCACATTTGCATGTTTTCGAACTGCTAGGTTGGCAGAAGCTAGGGCTGACAGCGGAAGCTCACGCCGCTCCCCGGAATCGAACCTGCGACCTTTCGATCAACAAGCTCAGCAGCTCAGTGCTTTAAACCACTGCGCCACCGGGGGCTCCCAATAATAATAATAATAATAATAATAATACTTTATTTGTACCCCGCTACCATCTCCCCAAGGGACTCGGTGCGGCTTAAGTGAGGCCGAGCCCACAATACAACAATAAACAATAGCAACAGTAATACAAAACAATAAATGAACTCATAAGCAAAAAATAAGCAATAAAGAATTTAAATAAATTATTTAAATCTATTTAATTATAACATGATTATAATATATAAATAATTTAAATAATTAAATAATTATTTAAATTATTTAAATATTATTATCATGTTAATAATAAATTAAGAGGACTTTGTGTTGTCATGGCCGGAATCACTGGGTTGCTGTGAGTTTTCAGGGCTGTATAGACAAACGTTAAGAGAGAATGCTTCTGGAACATGGCTATTCAGCCTGGAAAACTTACAGCAACCCACTAAGAGTTGTTGGGCCAGAGTGAAGAGAGAGGGGGCCAGGGGACAGTTCCGCACTGTCTCCTGTGCTATGCTAATAATATAATATAATATAATATAATCTATATAAATAAAAATGTAATGTTCGTTTGTGGGATTAATAGAACTCAAAAACCACTGGGGGAATTGACACCAAATTTGGACACTATACCCCTAACAGACCAACAAGTGACCATCGCTCATAAAAAAAACCCCAAAACAGAAGAAAGGACTTAAAAACCCAAAAAAGTTAAATGACATACAGAAAAAATGGAAAGAAGAGGAAGTAAGGGAGGGGAGAAAGAAAGAAAGAAGCATGGAAGCAAAGAGCAAAGGAAGGAAGGAAAGAGGTAGAGAAGGAAGGAAGGAGAGAAAGTAGTAGGAAAAGAAAAAGGGGGGAAGGAAGGAATGAGGTAGAAAAGGAAGGAGAGAAAGAAAGGAAGGGGGAAGGAAAGAAAGAGGAGTGAAGGAAGGAGGGAAAGAAGGAGAGAAAGAGGAAGGGAAGAAGGAAAGAAAGAAGGAACGGTGGAAGCAAAAAGCGAAGGAAGGAAGGAAAGAGGAATGAGGAAGGAAGGTGAGAAGGAAAGAAGAAAGCAGAAGAAATAAATGAAAGAAGGAGCAAAGGAAGGAGGGAAAGAAGGAGAGAAAAAGGCGGGGAAGGTTGGCCACAGCAACGCGTGGTGGGTACAGCTAGTATAATATAATATATTGTATATACCTATAATATTTATATTATAATGTACTACAATATAATAATAATAATATATTTTATATTACACATAATATTACTAATAATATTACAATATAATGGTATAGTACAATATAATGATATATGATACTGATATTGTACTATGCTAATAATATAATATATTGTATGTATATACATCTTGTAAGCCGCTCTGAGTCCCCTTCGGGGTGAGAAGGGCGGCATAGAAATGTCGCAAATAAATAAATAAATAAATAATAAGAGGACTTTATCTGCTTCCCATTCATCTGATCAGGCTACTCCTTCAGAAAGACTGCTCAGAAAAGAAGAAAGTCATCATTGAAACAGGTAATCTCTTAAAAATGGTAAAAATGGTAATCTCTTAAGAATAATCTGTTTTACAAAAAAAGGGCTCTGAGAATTTTATCTGATAACATTTCATAATAGCAACAATAATAACAACAACAACAATTTTACCTTAATAATAATCTCAGGCTCTGATAATTTCATCTGATGACATTTAATAATAATAATAATAATAATAATAATAATAATATTTTAATAATAATCTCAGACTTTGAGAATTTTATCTAATAACATTTCATCATCATCATTTTATCTTAGTAATAATCTCAGGCTTTGAGAATGTTATCTGATGACATATACAAAGTATATGTATATTGGTACAAAGCCAATCTTCAAAAATGGGGCCACAAAGTGGAGTCCACGACATGCGAGTGTGGAGGAGAGCAAACAACAAACTACCTACTACAATGTAGCCTGAGCCCTGTCACATACACAATGGAGAACCTTCTTACAGTAACACCAGAGGCACTCCAAGTGGTCAGCTACTGGTCAAAGGACATTTAGTATAATGCCAAGTTTTGCAAACTTTGTGTTTTTAAATACGAGTTGAGTACCCTCAATTCGTTTCTGAAACAATAAATAAATAAATAGTAACAACAACAATTTTATCTTAGAAATAATATCAGGTTCTGAGAATTTTATCTGATAACATTTCATAATCATAATTACTGTTATTGTGGCTAGTGGCTCAAGGCGGGTCACAGCACAGTCAAAACACACAAACATTGCAAACGTTCTTTAAACGCACATATTAAAATCAAGTTGTATAAAATATATAAATATATATTTCTATAAAATACACAAAACAGAGACAAGAGTTTCAAATTCATGCTTAAAACTGGCTAGAAGAGAGAGGTTTTTAGATTGTTTTGTACTATTCAATGCTCCTCTAGGTATTGTTTATTGCATTCATTCTTTTTCAAAAACAGAGACTAAAAACCCTCTGTCACTAAATACGAAGACTATGAAGTTTAGACAGAAGTCCTCTCTGCAACCAAGGCAAACATGTGGCATTCTAATCTTTCTTTTCATTATCTACCTTGGACTCGAAGTAACGGTCGGTTCCAGAAACCCTCCTGTCTCTTTCCATCAAGTGCCATTGGTAGGTGTTCCGGGCAATGCGCTTCTCCTGGGATACACAAATGGGTTGGGAAAAACAAGTCAAAATCAAGGAGAAAGGGGATAAAATGTATATGCATATAATACAACACAAAAAGAAAAAAAAACCCAGACAAATGGAATATTTAAATATTATGTACTAATATATTATTAGAGACCCTAAACTGGGTCTTTTTAGGTCCACGTCGCGGGAGCACGGAAGGAAGGAGACAGCCCCAATGAAAGATAAAAAAACAAGGTTTTATTTTAGTTTCTTCATGATAGATACGTTTTATTGATTGGCCTACTGCCCGTATCAAAACATTTAACACATAACACAATTAACACATAGTCATACATAGTCATACATACAACCTACAACCCTCGGTATAAAAGAAGTGAAAAAAAACAAGCTGTCAACAAGATCTCGTTCAGGTCAAAAGTCTGCGTCACCTCCACAGCTTACCCCGATTGATTCCAAATGTGCAATTCTCAGCTGTGTTGCTTTGAATAGAAAAAGGACTGTTTTGTGTGTTATTTTAGGGTTCTGGCCGGCCAACAAAAATGAGGTTTTAATATATGGGTCCCAGTGTGTTTTTTGAATAATGTATGGTCCAAGGTAGTTTCTTCATGAAGAAGACGGACAACCGGGCAGCATGCGCAGATGCTACCCTTCAAATGACTGCCGTCCCCCCTTGGCTTTTGACCACCAAATATATAACCTCAAGTAAGATCATCTGAGGAGGCCCTGCTCTCGATCCCGTCTGCTTTGCAAGCACGCTTTGCGGGGACGAGGGACAGGGCCTTCTCTGTGGTGGCCCCTCGGCTGTGGAACTCCCTGCCTAGGGATATTAGATCAGCCCCCTCCCTCCTGACCTTTCGTAAGAGAGTGAAAACCTGGCTCTTCGAGCAGGCATTCGGAACCCCGGAATAGATAGTCAAGCTTGAGATGGAGAATGACCCAGGAACGGCCAAGACGATGAAATGGACGAGGATTGGAATGAGAGGATATAGCTCTTTTTAAATTGTCATTGCACTGTCTTTTTTGTCTAATTGCACTTAACTATTTTTGCTTTTGTATTGGATTGATGGCATCGAATTGTGCCGATATGTAGACCGCCCTGAGTCGCCTGCGGGCTGATATGGGTGGGATATAAGTGATGTAAATAAATAAATAAGTAAGTAAGTAAACAAGAACATTTTTTGTCATGGAAAAGTACTCTCTTTCCAGCCCCCTCTCTTGACTTTTTGATGGAAAGTACCTTCTTGTACATGTAGACTCTGTGCTTCAAAAGCAACCTTTGAAGTTAACCACAAGCATCCTGTGTAAGAAAGTTCCCTCTTGTACTTAAAAACATTTTCTTCCGTATTGCCCTTTTTAAGTCAGAGAAAGGGTATGTCTCTCTTTTGCTGTTAATTTCATTCAAAGCCCCTTACTCAGAGACCCTTGAGGCCTCCTTCAATATTGCATTTGTATCATTATCATTATGTATTCCTTTATACCCACACTTACATTATGATGTATTTATGTATATCCTGCATTATGATTATTATTTTGTATTTATGCCTATTCCATATATCTATTCTCCATCCTGTATTTATTCATATCCCTCATTATTATGTATTTCTCCATGACTCTGACCTCTCCCTCCCTGCCTCCCTCCCCTCAATTCTGTCCTAAGCGGGACAGACGCGCGATAGCGTGGCGGTGTGGCTGACCTTGCCCCCGTTGGTGAACTTGTGGATGAAGGTGGTGGAGAAGCCCGGGATGGTCAGGCAGACGTACATCACCGTCAGGCTGGGAAGGATCTCGTACCACATCGTCTTCTCCTCAGGAATGCAAGGGCAGAAGACGCTTCTCTCCTTCTCTTCCGCCCTGGCGTCACTTCCGCTGCTGTCGCTATGGGGATACAGGAGAGAGACATCTCTCGCGGCCAATGGGAGCGAGCGGGAGGCGGGACTGAGGGAGGGCGGCACTGCGCAGGCGCAAACTTTCCTCCCTCCGCTACTGTGGGTATGGGGATAGAAGAGAGAGACATCTCTCGCGGCCAATGGGATTGAGCGGGAGGCGGGGTGAGGGAGGGCTGCACTGCGCAGGCGCAAACTTTCCTCCCTCCACTGCTGTCGGTATGGGGATAGAGGAGAGAGACATCTCTCGCGGCCAATGGGAGTGAGCGGGAGGCGGGACTGAGGGAGGGCGGCACTGCGCAAGCGCAAACTTTCCTCCCTCCGCTGCTGTGGGTATGGGGATAGAAGAGAGAGACATCTCTCGCGGCCAATGGGAGTAACCGGGAGGCGGGGCTGAGGGAGGGCTGAACTGCGCAGGCGCAAACTTTCCTCCCTCCGCTGGTGTCGATATGGAGATAGAGGAGAGAGACATCTCTCTCGGCCAATGGGAGTGAGCGGGAGGCGGGACTGAAGGAGGGCGGCACTGCGCAGGCGCAAACTTTCCTCCCTCCGCTACTGTGGGTATGGGGATAGAAGAGAGAGACATCTCTCGCGGCCAATGGGAGTAAGCGGGAGGCGGGACTGAGGGAGGGCGGCACTGCGCAGGCGCAAACTTTCCTCCCTCCTCCGCCCTACTGTAGGGTATGGTATGGGTGATATGAACTGAGAGAGAACATAACTCTCTGCGGCCAATAGGGACGTAATGTGAGCGGGAGGGCGGACTGAGAGAGGGTGGCATTGCGCAGGCGCAAACTTTCCTCCCTCCGCTACTGTGGATATGGGGATACAGGAGAGAGACATCTCTCGCGGCCAATGGGAGTGAGCGGGAGGCGGGACTGAGGGAGGGCGGCACTGCGCAGGCGCAAACTTTCCTCCCTCCGCTACTGTGGGTATGGGGATAGAAGAGAGAGACATCTCTCGCGGCCAATGGGAGTGAGCGGGAGGCGGGACTGAGGGAGGGCGGCACTGCGCAGGCGCAAACTTTCCTCCCTCCGCTACTGTGGGTATGGGGATAGAAGAGAGAGACATCTCTCGCGGCCAATGGGAGTGAGCGGGAGGCGGGGCTGAGGGAGGGCGGCACTGCGCAGGCGCAAACTTTCCTCCCTCCGCTGGTGTCGATATGGGGATAGAAGAGAGAGACATCTCTCGCGTCCAATGGGAGTGAGCGGGAGGCGGGGCTGAGGGAGGGCGGCACTGCGCAGGCGCAAAATTTCCTTCCTCTGCTCGTGTCGCTATGGGGATAGAGAAGAGAGACATCTCTCTCGGCCAATGGGAGTGAGTGGGAGGCGGGGCTGAGGTATTGTTCCGCTGCTGTCGCTATGGGGATAGAGGAGATAGACATCTCTCTCGGCCAATGGGAGTGAGCGGGAGGCGGGGCTGAGGGAGGGTTCCGCTGCTGTCGCTATGGGGATAGAGAAGAGAGACATCTCTCGCGTCCAATGGGAGTGAGCGGGAGGCGGATCTGAGGGAGTGCGGTACTGCGCAGGCGCCACTTTCTCTCACCTCCTTGTGACGGAGGGAGGAGGTTTTTGTGACTTACCAAAAGGCAGGGCGGAACTGCGCAGGCGCAGGCTTTCCTCGCTCCCTCCTTTCCCCCTCCCCCGCCGCTGCTGTTGCTATGGAGATGGAAAAACCGTTGCGGCCTTCCGCGGCGACGTCACTTCCGCAGCTCGGTTGCCATGGGGATGAGGGTAGAGGCTCTCGCGAGAGGAGCGGCGGCCAATGGGCGAGCGAGACGGAGCGGAAGACGGGCGAGCGGGGCCTTGTTGTTGGCTGTGGCGGCCGGGGCGTTGAGGATGAAGGAAGGCAAAGAGAACGCCAGGCCCAAAGAGAAGCGCGGCGCAGCCTCCGCCTCCTCCGCCGGAGCGGGAGCCCTGGCGGTGGGCGGGGGCGCGGACGCCAAGGCCGGAGGGGAGCCCGACAGCAGGCCCCGGGACAAGAAGGAGCTCCTCAGCAAGGTGAAGGGAGGGGAATATAGTCATTCCATAACAAATGTGTCTTATATAGAAGATAAGAAGAAAAGAAATATAAGAATAGATATGGAGCAATAGAGTAAGAAGAGAAATAGAATAAGAATATAGTAAATGTGTATATATAGAATATAATAGGAATAGAAATAGAATAATATAATAAGAATGATAAGAAGAGATATAGAATAAGAATATAATCAAGCTGTAATAAATGTATTTATGCAGAATATAATAGGAATAGAAATAGAATAATAGAATAAGAATGATAACAAGAGATGTAGAATAAGAATATAGTTAACTTATAACAAATGTGTTTTATATAGAATATAAGAAGAAGAGAAATAGAATAAGAATAGATATGTAGTAATAGAGTAAGAATAAGAAGAGAAATAGAATTAACTTATAACACATGTGTTTTCTATAGAGTATAAGGAGAATCGATATGTAATAAGAGAATAGGAATGATAAAGAGAAATAGAATAAGAATATCCTCAACCTATAATAAATGTGTATATATAGAATATAATAGGATTAGAAATATAATAATAGAATAAGAATGATAAGAAGAGATATAGAATAAGAGTATAGTTAACCTATAACAAATGTGTTTATATAGAAGATAATAGGAATAGAATAGAATAAGAATGATAACAAGAGATGTAGAATAAGAATATACTCAAGCTGTCATAAATGTGTTTATATAGAATATAATAGGAATAGAAATACAATAAAAATAGATATGTAATATTAGAATAGGAATGATACTAGAAATAGAATTAAGAATATCCTCAACCTATAAGAAATGTGTATATATAGAATATAATAGGAATAGAAATATAATAATAGAATAAGAATGATAAGAAAGATATAGAATAAGAGTATAGTTAACCTATAACAAATGTGTTTTATATAGATTAGAAGAAGAATAGATATGTAATAAGAATATTTATGTAGTAATAGAGTAAGAATAAGAAGAGAAATAGAATAAGAATATAGTTAACCTGTAACAAATGTGTTTTATATAGATTAGAATAGGAATAGCTATGTAATAATAGAATAGGAATGATAAAGAGAAATAGAATTAGAATATCCTCAACCTATAATAAATGTATTTATGTAGAATATAATAGGAATAGAAATATAATAATAAAATAAGAAGAGATATAGAATAAGAATATACTCAAGGTATCATAAATGTGTTTTATATAGAATATAATAGGAATATAAATATAATAAGAATAGATATGTAGTAATGGAATAAGAATGATAAATAGAATAAGAATATGTTCAAGCTATAATAATTGTGTTTTATATAGATTATAATAAGAATAGATATGTAATAATAGAACAGGAATGATACGAAAATAAATAGAATAAGAATATACTCAAGCTATAATAAATGTGTTTATATAGAATATAATAGGAATAGAAATATAATAAGAACAGATAAGTAGTAATAGAATAAGAAAGATAAGATAAATAGAATAAGAATATGTTCAAGCTATCATAAATGTATTTTATATAGATCATAATATGAATAGATATGTAATAATAGAATAGGAATGATAAGAGAAATAGAATAAGAATATGTTCAAGCTATCATAAATGTGTTTTATATAGAATATGAGAAGAATAGAAATATATTAAGAATAGATATGTAGCAATAGAATAAGAATAAGAAGAGAAATAAAATAAGAATATTCTCAATCTATAACAAATGTATTTTATATAGAATATAATAAAAATAAAAATATAATAAGACTAGATATGTAGTAATAGAATAAGAATGAAAAGAAGAGAAATAGAATAAGAATCTACTCAAGCTATAATAAATGTGTTTCGTATATAATATAAGAAGAATAGATTAATAGTAATAGAATAAGAATGATAAGAAGAGAAATAGAATAAGAATATAGTTCATCTATAATAAATGTGTTTTACATAGAATATATTAACAGAAATATAATAATAGAATAAGAATGATAAGAAGAGAAATAGAATGGGAATGTAGGTAACCTATAATAAATGTGTTTTATATAGAATACAATAAGAACAGAAATATAGTAAGAACAGATATGTAATAATAGAATAAGAACATAAGAGAAATAGAATAAGAATATAGATAACCTATAACAAATGTGTTTTATATAGAATATATAATAAGAATAAAATTATAGTAAGAATGATAAGAAGTGAAATACAGTAAGAATATTCTATAATAATGTGTTTTATATAGAATATAATAAGAAAATAATATATAATAAGAATATACTGTAATCAACCTATAATAAATGTGATTTATCTATAATGAGTCCCCTTTGGGTGAGAAGGGTGACATAAATGTTGTAAATTAATAAATAATAAAGTATAATAATAATAATAATAGAAATTGAATAAGAACGTACTCAACATATAATAAATGTGTTTTATGTATACTGTAATAAGAGAAATATAAGAATACAGTCAACGTATAATAACCATAGATATATAGTTTTTAAAAAAGAATAAAAATATAGTAAGGACATTATAATCAAAAATATAATAAGACTAGAAATATAATATTAAGAATATGATGATGATAATAATAATAATAATAATATAAATATAAGAATACATATTTTGTTACCCAAAGTATAGCAAAGTCAATAACCTATGAACATAACTTATATATAATAAAATATAAAGAGAAAAAAGACATAACTATGAAAACGTACACCGCACACAGGGTTCAAAATCAACATGAAGCAGCAAGGGAATGTCAGTCAAACCTCATGATAGAAAGTTGGCTGGGTTGGCCTTCTACCGGAAGAGATGGATTTTCAGTTCGGTCTTACATTCCGACAGTTTTTATGGGAGAACCAGTTAGGAAATGACGCAACCCAGGAATGACAATTGTGTTACATAGTGTTGTTTGGAACAATATATTTGACAAGTTGAGATGTTTGTAAAAACCGACACTTCCTCTTGCAGGTGGTGATTCGCCGCCTCCCTCCCAGCCTAACCAAGGAGCAGCTTGAAGAACATCTCCAGCCTTTGCCGGAACACGACTACTTTGAGTTCTTTGCTAATGACACCAGGTGAGAGGGCCTTTCAAACTCTGCCCGTGTTGCATGTAACGGTGGCATGTCATTTATGTCTTTCAGTTTTACACCCGTCTTGTGTTTTGGTATATTTACAGTCATCACTCAGCGACGTTTCCTTATACATTGCCATTTTCTGTCCTTCTGCAGTTTGTACCCTCACATGTTTTCCAGAGCATACATCAACTTTAAAAACCAAGAAGACATAGTTCTGTTCAGGGATCGCTTTGATGGTTATGTTTTTGTTGATCACAAAGGCAAGTATGCCTGAAACTTGGCTATGTATATCATATCTCTGTTTTGTCCAAATATATATTGGCATAAATTTGGTGAAAATAATTCAGTCAATCCAGAGGCCCAGAAACGGGGTAGAATTGCCTGCATGGTCTGTGGCGAGCCAGTGTCATCCAGAATTTAATTTGAAAAATCCGATCATTGCTCATCTGAGATCGCATGCAAAGGGCTTTGGGTGGGGAGGAAATGCGGCCGGCTTCACGGCAAAAGATCCATATTAATGCGCGGTCCATTGTGTGGTATAGCAACATCTGGTTTTAGGAAATGTAATAAGTAAGGCAGAGTGGGGATGACTTCTGCCCCATACAATGGACACGGAGACTTGCTTGATATGGCTGCTTCTTAAGCAACCAATGTTTTGATCATCAACTGCTGAAGAAGGACCGTGTTGCTTATGTTCTTTTGCTTCTTTGCCATTCTTCATGTAGCCAAATTTGCTTTCTATGGCCATTTATCCCAGGATAATCTTTTGTTGTTGTTATTCAAAAATAATATATATTTAAAACCCCAAGAGTAGAGATGGAAAGGCCTGGGGGGAAAAATGGAAAAATTGAGGGGGGAAAAACATTTTTTCCCCAGAAAAATTGGGGGAAAGGTGTGTAGAAACAAAAAGTCTTAGAAATCTTTCACTAAGGTCTTCATGTTATATAGTTTGAATGCCATTCCATAGATATATTATTTATCATTGAGAAAGAACATAGTCTACACACTTTTTTAGTTTTTCCGGGGGGGAAATGTCTTTGGAAAAAAACCTAGTTTGTCCCCCAATTTTTCTGTTCCCCCCCCCCCCAAGCTTTCTGTTTCTGTTCCCCCCACCCCCAAGCTTTCCTATCCTTACCCAAGAGAGATGTGTACATTTTGATGACCAAAGCAGTAGCTTCAACTTAATATAAAATGATCCTTAAAAGCATCTCTCTTCCTAAAACATTGCCGTTTAAGATTAGCTCAATTAGTATAATTCTCATGAGGAGAAGGCCTCAATACACACTCGCGTGGCCCATTGTAATATTGAAATACTGAACTGAAAGGCTTTGAATGTAAGCCACTTTGAGTCTCGTTGTTGGAGAGACTCTAATAACAATAATAACAATAACAATAATAATAATAATAATAATAATAATAATAATAATAATAATAATAATAGTTTGTGAGCCAGATAGTGATAGTCTTGGGTACTGGTGCCAGTGTTTCCTGCAATCGTCCAAGCTTTTCTTGTGGGATTTCTCCCCAGCTGATGGGGTGGGAGGCCTGGGGAGAAAAACAGGAATTGTGTTTGGTGTAGAAAAGTAAACTCAACACTATCTTGTGTTGAGTTTACTTTTGAGAAACACTCAGATTTTTTAAAAAAACATAATCTCTGCTTTTGTTCTTAAGACAGCTGTTTATTGGGTTTTAACAAATACTTTTCATGCATCCAGGTCTGGAATATCCTGCCATAGTGGAATTTGCACCATTTCAAAAGGCTGCCAAAAAAAAGAGTAAGAAAAAGGACGCCAAAGCCGGGACCATTGACGATGGTTAGTAGGGGTAGTTGCTTGTTACCTAACTAAACTAATTTCAACATACAAATTAAGAGGATTAAATTGGAAGCAAGTCACAATGGATACAGTTGGGTTTACTTCAAACTAAATAATAATACAGTAATAATAATAGTATGATCATTATTATTATTATATTATTATCTCTATAACATGGCTTTGGTAGGGTTTTACTTTGAGCTTTTCTGTTTGTATCAACATGATCACATCTTTTATGTTCTCTTTGCTTTGGTTCCTTGTTAGATCCAGAGTACAAAAAGTTCTTAGAAAGCTACAGTGCAGACGATGAGAAGTTGACATCCACCCCTGAGACGTTACTAGAAGAAATAGAGGCCAAAAACAAAGAATTAATAGGTATCGCAGTCATTGTTGCAGTTCTGATATGTCTCTTTCTATTGAGAACATATAATTCACTGTTGATTTATATGAAATATCTTTTTCTTTTTCTTTTTTTACTGTTTCATGCTTTCTGAATGCTGGTCAACACTCGTAAGAGGTTGTGAATGTATTCTAATTGCTAAAAGTGTTTCTATTTTCATCTAAACTATTTTGTTTAATGTGGAGCTGAGCAAGTCTCTTGCTCATGGAAATGAAGGGAAGAGAGAGCAAAGCTGGCTCTCAGTGGCTTGTCCTCAAATCATTTGTATCTGAACACTGATGCAGCAAAAGTTTGTATTAAATATCCCCAAGTGTCGTTATAGATTGCTTCTGTTCTATACATATTGTTTAAGCCTTTCATGGCCAGAATCACTGTGTTGCTGTGAGTTTTCCGGGCAGTCTACCATGTTCAAGAAGCATTCTCTCCTGACATTTCACTTGTATCTATGGCAGGCATCCTCAGAGGGGTGAGGCCTGTTGGGAACTAAACAAGTGAGATTTATATACCTGTGGAATAATGTTCAGGGTAGGAGAAAGAATTCTTGTCTGCTTGAGGTAAGTGTGAATGTTGCAACTGGCCACCTTGATTAGCATTGAATGGTCTTGTAGCTTCAATGCCTGGCTGTTTCCTGACTGGGTGGATATTTTCTAGGAGGTGTTCGCTGGCTCTGATTGTTTCCTGTCTGGAATTCCCCTGGTTTTTTAGTGTTGCTCTTTATTAACTGTCCTGATTTGAGAGTTTTTTAATACTGGTAGCCAGATTGTGTTCATTTTCATGGTTTCTTCCTTTCTGTTGAAATTGTCCACATGCTTGTGGATTTCAATGGCTTCTCTGTTTATTCTGACATGGTGGTTGTCGGAGTGGTCCGACATTCCTGTGTTCTTAAGTAATATGTTGTGCCAAGGTTTGGTTAATTCAAATAAGCTCACAGTTGTGCTTTTAACTTATTATTTCCCATAATGGGTCCAATAGTTTCACACATATCCTTAAAAGCAGTGCATCTTTTACTTGAATTAGTCCACTGAGAATCCCAAAGAAGTGGATTCTGAAATGTCGATGGAAGAGTTTTTGATGGTACTGGTGGAAGGTTTTTTAATCTAATTAAATAAACAGGACAGATGGGAGCATATTTTTTATTTCTTGCACAAGAGAAGTGAATGGTTTGTCAAAAATACTAAAAATTAACTAGATATTTTTAATTTCAAAAATGTGAGTCAAGCACTGAGTTAAATGGATGCAATGACTCAGCAAAAGCTGTAGTTCAATATAAGTAGGTGTGCCTATAGCTTAGTACACATCAGTGTTATCTGCCCTCGGTATGAGAGAAGCCTCAGGATGAGAAGGCCTCAGTAGGAGAATGCCTCAGTGTGTGAGAGGCCTGGTGTGAGAAGGCCCAGGTTGAAAGCCTCATGTGTAAAGCTCCAGTGAGAAGGCTGCTGTGTGTAAAAGGCTACTGTGTGAAGCTCCTGTGTAAGTTTGGTGTGAGAAGAAGCTCTGTGTGAGTGAAGCTGTTTCTCTGCATGAGAAAGAAGCCCAGCGTGGAAGCAAAGAAGGAAGTAAAAAAAAACTTTGTTCGTGTTATGGGAACCTTGTTCTTGTAAATAGTACAACCATATTGTTTTGCTAAATAGAGAAAAGCCTCCTAAGGAAGAGATAACATTGCTCTGTGTGTTTTTGGGTTTTTTTTTTTAATCACTTTGGGCTACTGGTGCTGGGTCACGCTGCTGCTGATAAGTTACTCTGCTGTAACTTTATGAGAAGAATATTTTTATTATTATTTTATATTTTATTTGGGGTAGGGGGGAAAGGGAGAAAGAATATTGTTTTTTATATACATGTAAAGTGGTGGAACAAAAATATTAAGAGAAAGTAGGAAAAAAAGAGAGTTATTATTATTATTATTATTTACGTGTGCGTTTTTGTCATACTGTTACATGTTTCTTACTTTCCTACTACACCATTGTTCTCCCACTTTACATGTAAAAGGGTTTTTGGTTTTTTTCTCTTTGTGTTATATCAATATACGTTTTCTACTTTCCTACTACACCATTGTTTTCCCACTTTACATATACAATATTTTTTCTCTCCTTTTTTTTTTGACCCCCAAATCCCAAACCTCCCCTTTTTTATCCTTAATAAAAAATAAATTTTGAAAAAGAAAGAAAAAGAGGTATATTGAGAGAGAGAAAAAGAAAAAAAAGATTTTTAAAATAATAATAATAATCATAAAAATTAAAATCTGGCGACTTCCATCTAATCCAGTGGTTCTCAACCTGGGGTCCCCAGATGTTTTTGGCCTTCAACTCCCAGAAATCCTAACAGCTGGTCAGCTGGCTGGGATTTCTGGGAGTTGTAGACCAAAAACATCTGGGGACCCCAGGTTGAGAACCACTGATCTAATCCTTTGTTCATAAGTTCACTCGCCCAACAAGGTTATCTCTTTGTAATTAACTCTCTTTTTCCCTCTCTAGCCAAAAAGACAACTCCTCTACTGAACTTCTTGAAGAATAAGCAGGTAATTGAAATTCTTTTCAGTATTTTCTGTGTTTCAGCATATGCATTTTGGGGTGTCCAGCAGTACCTTTTCCATAACCATACAGAGAAGATACAATGCCAGGCTTTTTGATGTTATTCCACCCAAATAGGTGTTTTCACTTTTTCTTGGGTTAGAAGAGGCATAGGCAAACTTTGGCCCTCCAGGTGTTTTGTACTACAACTCCCACAATTCCTAACAGCCTACCGGCTGTTAGGAATTGTGGGAGTTGTAGTCCAAAACACCTGGAGGGTCAAAGTTTGCCCATACCTGGGATAGAGCATTGGATATAAATGCGCATTTGTTTGTTTTTAATGATCCCTGTTCCCCTTTATTTCCTACTTTTTCTCAGCTGTGAATTTTCTCCACTTTAAGTTTGGGAATAAAGGCATTCTCCATTCACCCACTATATTACTTAACTAACACTCAGGTTATATAATAGCAAGCCTCTTGGTGGATGCCCTTCCTAATATTCAGCCTTGAAGTTCTCCTTCTTCCTTTTCAACAGAGGATTAGAGAAGAAAAACGAGAGGAGAGGAGGAGGAGAGAAATAGAGAGGAAACGACAAAGGGAAGAAGAAAGGAGGAAATGGAAAGAAGAGGAAAGGAGGAAAAGGAAGGAGGCTGAAAAAACCAAAAAAGTGGAAAGGTGCCCAGAGAAAGAAAGGGACCGATCCAAGGACGAGCCGAAAATTAAGGTATCTCTTCGTTCCTGTAGGATACATTGGACTTGTATCTTGCTCTCTCATAACATGCTTAGAAATACTATTAGACAGAGGGTTGGAGGGTGGATTTAATTGTAAGTTGAGGAGAGAAAAGAAAGTGTCTCCTGTGCTATTCTAATATAATATAATATATTGTATATACATATAATATTTATAATATTATAATGAAATGAAATGTAATACTAATGATATGATATTATAATTATATATTTACTGTTTATATTACATGTAATATTACTAATAATATTACAATATAATGGTAGATATACTAATATATAATACTGATATACTGATAGCTAATAATATAATATATGTATGATATAATAAGAATATGATATTATAGTTCAAACACAGCTGTGCTGTTAGTAGAGAAATTATGGACTGCTTAAAGCGGAGAAGTTAATTTATGACACCATAAAAATGCCAGAGAGCATGGAGTGAATGCTAAGATATTATATTATAATATAATATAATATAATATAATATAATATATTGTATATACATATAATATTTATAATATTATAATGTAATTCAATATAATAATACTAATAATATGATATTATAATTATATATATTATTACTAATAATATTACAATATAATGCTATAATACAATATAGTAATATTTAATACTGATATTGTACTATGCTAATAGTATATTGTATGTATATGTATCTTGTAAGCCACTCTGAGTCCCCTTCAGTTATATAATATATGTAATATAATAATATAATATATATTGTATATATACAATATTTATAATATTATAATGCAATGCAATATAATAATATATTATTATAATTATTTATATTATATATTATATAATATATGATATTATAATTATATATTTATATTACTTGTAATATTACTTATAATATAATATGTATATACATATAATATTATAATGAAATGCAATGCAATATAATACTACTAATAATAATATATTATAATTATATATTTATATTACATGTAATATTACTAATAATATTACAATATAATGGTATAGTACAATATAGTAATATTTAATACTGATATTGTACTATGCTAATAATATAATATATTGTATTATATTATTAGCATAGTACATAGTATTATATATCTTGTAAGCTGCTCTGAGTCCCTTTCAGGGTGAGAAGGGCGACATATAAATGTCATAAATAAATAAAATAAAAGTAGTAGAACTCCTTGATGTATAGTTTGAAAAACTACCAGTATTTGAGGCCCTATGAATGAATTGATTCCAGTCTTTGGGTGAAGGGTGCATTCTACCCTGTAGAATGAATGCAGTTTGACACCATTTTGACTGCCATGGCTCAGTGCTACAACTCCCATGATTCTATAGCCCCCTGTTGAAAGTCTGTAGGTTACATTGCAAATCACTTCAAGTGAAATTAATGTCATTTAATTCCAAAAATAACTAGCATAGTTATATAATACCAAATATCTCTGTTTTTGTCTCGTCTCCAATTATTATCCTCCCTCCCTTTCTTTTAAGCAACAGAGGAACATTCTAGTAGCTTAGCATTAGAACTAACTTAGTAAGGAAAACTAAATTTGTTCTCTTCTTAGCTACTTAAGAAGCCGGAGAAAGACGAGAGAGACTTTGAAAAAAAGGAAAAGGCCAAGAGGCTGGAGAGAGAAAGCCTGCGGGAGGACAAGGTGGCCAGCCCAAGCGTTGGCAGCGTCCAGGCCAAGCGCTCTGATGGCGAAGCCAAAGAGGAAAAGGCCAAGAAATTAGTGTTTTCTTCCCAGTACGTATCCTTGCTTCTCAGAACATGCTGTTAGTTGGCTGCCTGATCCCAAAATGAACTTTGAATTCTGCTTGTCAATAGCTTTCTAAGTTAGGACTGCTTTGTGCAAAGAAAGAAGACAGGAGATGGGCAGTTTGGCTCCAAACTAAATCACCCAATTGCATGACTTCCACAGACCGCTGAGGTGTTCCAGCGAGTGTCTCTGTAGATCTTAGAAAACTATTTCTTGATTTAAGTCATTGACATGCTGGCTGATACCCAAACAAGGGATGAGCTGGAGATGTCAATGCCCTAGTCCTTTCCTTGCTGGTTGCTTCTTCCCTGAGGATGTCAGGTGTTGTGATACCTACTAGACAGTATAATTTCTCCAGTGGTGTAGGGCGTAGACATCCTGTGACAATGCGGCATGTCTCGTTAAGAGCCACATCTACTGTTTTAACATGGTGAGATGTGTTCCACACTGGGCATGCATACTCAGCAGCAGAGTAGCCAAGCGCAAGGGCAGATTTCTCCACTGTGTCTGGTTGTGATCCCCAAGTTGTGCCAGTCAGCTTTTGTACGATATTATTCCTATCACCTACTTTTTGCTTGATAGTCAAGCAGTGCTTCTTATAAGTTAGAGCACAGTCCAGAGTGACTCCCAGGTCATCCTCAGAGTTTGGGATGCTTATTGTTCTTAAGATGAAAAGCAAAAGCATTATTATTTTTTGTTTATTATGTTTATTGTGTTTATTATGTTTATTATTATTATTACCCTGCTTTATCTCTCCACAAGGAGACTCAGTGCAAACATGTAAAGATAGACAAATATGCAAACATAACTATTATTATTACTTACTAGCCGTCCCCTGTCACATATTGCTGTGGCCAAGTCTGTGCTTATGTGTTTTGTGTGTGTATATATGTGTGTCTATATATTTGTGTACGTATGTGGTTTTGTGCATACGTTGTAATGTATTTTTTGTTTTTTGGCTTTTAAGTCTCTTCTGCTGTGTTTTTTCATGTTTTTATGAGTGATGGTCACTCGTTGGCCTGATTAGTGTCTTGTGTCCAAATTTGGTGTCAATTCATCAAGTGGTTTTTGAGTTATGTTAATCCCACAAATGAACATTACATTTTTATTTAGATAGTAGGAAACTGAGATTGGTTGCAGCAGTCATCTGGATACAATTTTCACTTACAAACCCTGGTTTGTTGCTCTGCAATGTGTAGAGCTGGCTTTGGAAACTAAGACTTGCAAGATTATGGAGAGGCTTGTCCATTATTTGTGAGTTTTTGGAATTGATGTTTGCAGTCAGACTGGAATCTGTTTGAATGTTATTTCAAGTAGCCCCAATCCTCTGTCGTCAGGGAACTGTTAGATATCATTCCATTTTGCTTCTCCGTCCTCTTCTTAAATTGCATTTCATAACCTTTTGCACACAGATTGGAGGACGACTATGGGAAAGACTACCGGGAGAGAGAATACGACCGAGAGTACGAGCGAATCCAGCGAGATAAATTTCGGCGCCAAGATGACGAGCGGCGGAGGCAGAAAGACCGCTTTGAGAAAGAGAGAGTTTTCAGGAGAAAAGATGATGATATGAAAAAGGAGAGAGACTCCTTGCGGGAGAAAGGGAAAAGAGCCGAATTGTCAGACTACATGGGCAATGCAGAGAAGGCCAGCAAAGAGGATAAGAAAGAAGAAATGGCCAAGAGGGACCGCATTAGAAACAAGGTACCAGTTCTGTTGTATGCTCTTGCAGTCACCTGTTTATTATAAGAGCAACATCATCTGTACAGGAAAGTGAGGGCCTCGCTATTTAAGTGTCTACCTCTCTGAAGCAGACCAAGCAAGAGATGGGAGGAGGGAAGAGAGAGAGAGAGAAAGGCAAAGAGGGCAAATGGGGCTCATTTGCCTGTCTCCTTGATGAGGACTCTGAACTTGTGCACAAAGGCCAGAGATGGGTCTTCTAGGACTATTTAGGGAGAGAATTAGCAAAGGGGATTAAGACATTTGTCAATATAGCTGTGTTGCAGCCAGATTGACCATAGCCAAATAGAAAAGTAACTTTTCTCTTCAATCCTTTTTAGATGGTGCATTTCACCTTTACCAAAGTTACTGGACTATATTGGAATGGCCAGGATAAGCAATTGTGTTTGGGGAGGAAATAATGAAGAGTTTGGCAAAATTTTTTATATGGCATTTGTAAGTTGTCCTGAGATAGGGCGGAATAGAAATAACGTCTCAGTCTCATCCATTTATATTTCAGAACAGAACGTTTTTAATTTGGTCAGTGACCAGCATCTGTAAAGTATCTGTTTTGCTAGTTATTGTAATATTTGTTTTTGTTTGTCACTTGTCTATATCTATATCTGTCTATATATGTATATATATTCTATATATACATATATCTGTATATATATTCTAAGCATATATATTATATACATTATATTACATGTTATTATATTGTTATATTATTATTATTTTACTGACACAAAAACACAAAAAATCAGTAAAATTATTATTATTATTATTATTATTATTATTATTATTATTATTATTATTAAGCACAACAAGATGAGTCCACAGCAGACACTCTGCTGGCTGTTTTATTGGATCACACGTTGGACACTTCCCAAGTGTCTAGGACTGTGTGATGTATTGGCGAATATGCCATTTGCAGATGGCAGATGGTAATTTTGTCAGTGCTGATTGTGTTTAAGTGAAGGCCAAGGTTTTTAGGCACTGCACCCAGTGTGCCGATCACCACTGGGACCACTTTGGCTGGCTTGTGCCAGAGTCTTTATTATTATTATTTTACTGACACAGAAACACAGTATGTCACAGCAAATGAGATCTATGTTTTTGTGTCAATAATAATAATAATAATAATAATAATAATAATAATAATAATAATAATAAAGACTCTGGCACAAGCCAGCCAAGGTGGTCCCAGTGGTGGTGATGATGACGATGATTATTATTATTATATTAAATGTGTATATGGGTATGTAGCAGGGGTGTCTGCTTACACAAACAGTGTCCATCCTCCACAAACAGGCTATAGTTCCCATTGAGCAGGAGACACCCATAGCCCTCCCAAAATTGACATTGCAGGTGACCATGAACATGTCCCAGAGCCCTGCCAATGTCCTCCACTGACGCCATACTGCCCACCACCCAAGTGAAGGCTTTCAGGCAGGGACCAGTTCAGCCTAGATTTTATGTTTTTCCTCCACCAAAGACACCTCCCAGGGTTCCTTTCGCCCTCAATTGGTGTGGAATTTGCATGACCCAGCCCACTGCCTCTCCCTTAACCCTTTCCTATGACAACACAGCAAACAGAGGAATGGATCATTCCGTAGGAGGTTGGACTGATTCCACAGGATGGAAGTTGCAGTTCACTCTTATCCAGAGAGCACTGAACCCAGCCAACCACGGATTGGGACCAAACTTGGCACACAGACTCAACAAGGCCAACTGTGAATACTGACAGGTGTTTCGGGAAGATTGCTTCAGGAATCTTGGAGTTGTAGTTTATTTATTTATTTATTTATTATCGGGGCGGATTACAGTGTACACATACATGGCAAACATTCAATGCCAGTTTTTGACATACAAACATGTACAGACATAGACAAAGGCTATTTAACTTTTTCTGGCCCGCCAGGGAAACTGTTGCTTTCATCGTCCATCTGCGACGCTGATGAAGCACTTCCGCATTCCCCGCATGCTTCCCCGCTGGAATGCTTTGCTGGAGTCTTCTTTATGGCCTCATAAATCAGTTAATTTAGCCTCCCCACACTTTTTAAGGTGGTACCATATTTTCCTACTTGACAGATGCAACTGTCTTTCGGGTTGCAAAGGTCGACAACAGGCTACACACAATTGGTTGGAAACCCACTCCAACCCAGGCTGGCTTCGAATTCATGACCTTTTGGTCAGAGTGATCTTAATGCAGCTGACACTCAGCCAGCTGCACCACAATCCCTGTTCAGTCTTATCCACAGCACTACAGCCAGACAATGACATACCTGGACCAAACTGGGCGCGCAAACCCAAAACGGCCAACTTTGAATAATAATTATTATAATCATAATAATAACTTTATTTATACCCAGCCACCATCTCCCCAATGAGGACTCAGGGCGGCTTACATGCACAGCACAGACAACATATTACAGCAAAATAAAACCAAAATATATGCAACAAGCAACAACATCAAAATTACATAAAAAACATATGAATACAGTAACAATATAACATTACAATAAACCCAATCACAGTGACAGTGGGCGAGCCACATGTGCAGGATAAAATGTACAAAAACTCGAATGAGAGAAGAAGAGGAGCAAGTTATTTGCAGGAGGGTGCTCATAAAGAAACACAGGGTTGTGGAACCAAACTTTTCCCATTAGTGGGGCGTGTACTCTAGTGACAGAGTACTGGCAGGGTTTGGGGAAGATTGGCCCATGATTCTGGGAATTGTTGTCCACTCACTCACACCAAACTGAGAATAGCTAACACCCAAAAACAAACAATGCCTTTTTCAAATAACCCAGGCATCACCAGGTCCCCAGGTTAGGCTACAATAAAGTTAAAAATGTGAACACAAAAAGAAAAGAACTTGTGCAGGAGGCGTTGATTTCTAACGGCTATTGCCATGTGACCAGTACTCCAAATACCATACCTGAATGAAATATGGGACCTTACAACTCGACCTTTTATTCTCCTTGTTTCAGGACCGCCCAGCTATGCAACTCTACCAGCCTGGGGCGCGGAGCCGTAGCCGGCTGTCGGCATACGATGAAAGCCCCGCGAAGTCCCCTGACCAAGGAGCCGAGAAGAAGCCCGAGAGCGAGGCCGGCAACGCAAAGGAGGCCGAGTGATGTCCCCCACCCGCCCGCCTCTTCTCTCTCACCTGCAAGCCAAAGAGCATGAACCGTGCAGTCCAGAAGTGCCTTGGAAGAGAAGGAAGGAAGGAAGGAATACAGGGAGCCATGACGGGTGCCATCTATCTGGCTTCAGAGTCTCAATGCAGAGTCACACCCCAATGCTTGTCTTGTCTCTGTCGAATGGAGGAGTGGGGGGCAGCAAAAGGACAAGGGGAAGGAGACTCCCCCTTTTGCGGAAGGCTTTGACGCTCTAAAATAAGTTGGAGGGTGCTCAAGGTGGTGCCACAAGTTCTGTCTTTTCAGAGAAAAAGCCACAAATGAGTATTTGCACTTAAATTGCCACCACTTTGGCGCCTCGTTGGATGGCAGTGCGTCATGTGCCGAAGGGAGGCGCAACAGTTTTGTAGAGTTGAGACAGTTTACTATGCAAGTGTGGGGGACACCTATGGGGTTTTTTTCCATTCAAAATGGGTGAGGCTGGAATGAAATAGCTAAGCTTTAAGCTGGATATCAAGAGAGGATGTTCCGAGCAACATCTCCCCATGTAACATCATTTATTTTCAAGGGAATCTATAGCTGATTGTTGTCCCTGCTTGTTTTTCTCTTATTCTTTTCCTAATGCTCTACTTCTGTTGTGCATTACATTCCTTGACGCATTAATGCAGCCTTCCCAGCTCTGGCCCTTGGATGTAGCAGACTCTAAAGCCCATCCCCTCATCTTTGCATCTAGAATAAAGCTACTGGCATTGTAGTCCAGAACGTTTGAGGAAAGTGGCAGCAGGACAGGCAGGAGTGATGCAGCCCTTCACTTTCCTTGGACATTAAAGCTCCCAGCAATCATTGGTGGAGCATGCTGGGAGTTGGATGGACAGTTGTGTGATTCTTACCTTTGTATTACTAACTAGAGTATCCAGAAAGAAGTATTGTAGCTCTTCCTGTTAATACAACACAGCTATTTTGTACTAAATAAAAGTTGAGATGCCATTTAAAAACCTCATTTGGGAATTTGTTGTTCGGTGAGAAAGAAAATAAATCCAGTCCTTCATAGAATTTTAGAGTTGGAAGAGACCTCGTGGGCCATCCAGTCCACCCTATTCTGCCAAGAAGCAGGAAAACTGCATTCAAAGCACCCCCGACAGATGGTCATCCAGCCTCTAGAGCAGGGGTCCTCAAACTAAGGCCCGAGTGCTGAATGCGGCCCTCCAAGGTCATTTACCCGGCCCTTGCTCAGGGTCAACCTAAGTCTGTAATGACTTGAAAGCAGGGTTGTTGTAGGTTTATATGGCCATGGTCTAGAGGCATTCTCTCCTGACGTTTCGCCTGCATCTATGGCAAGCATCCTCAGAGGTAGTGAGGTCTGTTGGAACTAGGAAAAAGGGTTTATATATCTGTGGAATGACCAGGGTGGGACAAAGGGCTCTTGTCTGCTGGAGCTAGGTGGGAATGTTTCAACTGACAAGAATCCTTTGTCTCACTCTGGTCATTCCACAGATATATAAACCCATTTTCCTAGTTCCAACACACCTCACTACCTCTGAGGATGCTTTCCATAGATGCAGGTGAAACGTCAGGAGAGAATGCCTCTAGACCATGGCCATATAACCTGAAAAGAAACTACAACAACCCAGTGATTCTGGCCATGAAAGCCTTTGACAATACATTGACTTGAAAGCACACAACAACAGCAGCAGCAGCAGCAGCAACAATCCTATCTCATCAGCCAAAAGCTGGCCCACACTTCCCATTGAAATACTAATAAATTTATATTTGTTAAAATTGTTCTTCATTTTAATTATTGTATTGTTTTTAAGTGTTTTTTGCACTTAAGATATGTGCAGCGTGCACAGGAATTCATTTATGTTTTTTTCAAATTATAATCTGGCCCTCCAACAGTTTGAGGGACTGTGACCTGGCCCTCTGTTTAAAAAGTTTGAAGACCCCTGCTCTATAGTGTTTGTCAACCCCATTTTGCCAAGAAGCAGAAATATTGCATTCAAAGCACCCCCGACAGATGGCCATCCAGCCTCTGTTTAAAAGCTTCCAAAGGAGGAGCCTCCACCACACTCCAGGGCAGAGAGTTCCACTGCTGAACGGCTCTCACAAGCAGGAAGTTCTTCCTCATGTTCAGGTGGAATCTCCTGTCCATTGTATCCGAAATCATGTGAAGAGGGTCAGTTTCTCCACAAACTGACCCACTAAGAAAATCCAACAAATGCTCCATTCAGCAAAGGACAAGAGGGATCCTCTCACTTCTGTAGAAGTATACCGTATACCAGTGGTTCTCAACCTTCCTAATGCCGCGACCCCTTAATACAGTTCCTCATGTTGTGGTGACCCCCAATCATAAAATTATTTTCATTGCTACTTCACAACTGTAATTTTGCTACTGTTATGAAGCATAATGTAAATATCTGATATGCAGGATGTATTTTCATTCACTGGACCAAATTTGGCACAAATCTCCAATACACCCAGATTTGGATCCACTGGTGGGATGGGGGTGGGGAAAGGGATTGATTTTGTCATTTGGAAGTTGTAGTTGCTGGGATTTATAGTTCACCTACGATCAAAGAGCATTCTGAACTCTACCAACAATAAAATTGAACCAAACTTGGGACACAGAACTCCCATGACCAACAGAAAATACTGGAAGGGTTTGGTAAGCATTGACCTTGCGTTTTGGAGTTGTAGTTCACCCACATCCCGAGAGGACTSAAAACAATGTTGGATCAAAAGAATGATGGGTTGGGACCAAACTTGGCATGAAAATCAATATGCCCAAATGTGAACTCTGGTGGAGTTTGGGGAAAACAGACTTGACATTTGGGAGTTGTAGTTGCTGGGATTTATAGTTCACCTACAATCAAAGAGGATTCTGAACCCCACCAATAATAGAATTGGGCCARACTTCCCATACAGAACCCCCATGACCAACCGAAAATACCGTGTTTTCTGATGGTCTTTGGCAACCCCCTGATGCCCCCTCGCGACCCCTCCAGGGGTCCCGACCCCCAGGTTGAGAAACACTGCCGTATACTATGCAGCTCTGGACAAGTTTACATAGGGAGCCCAAATGCAGCTGCATTGCCCAGACATGAATCAAGGAACATAAAAGTCGCTGCAGATTAGTTCAACCAGAGAAGTCAGCCATAGCAGAGCACCTGATGATCCAACCTGAGAGTGGTCCAGTATTTCTGTGTTCTCACAATCACCATGTCAGACTACACAAAGAAGCCATTGAAATACACAAGAAGCATGTGAACAATTTCAACAAACTTAATGTCAAGGAGAAACCTTTACCTTTATTATATTATTATCATATATTATTGTATTATATTATAATAATAATAATAATAATAATAATAATATAGCATATATTACATTATGTTCAACATTTTATATTATAATATTTATTTATTTATTTACAGCATTTTTATCCTGCGACTCAGGGCGATGTACAGATCGGCAACAATTGGATGCCACAACATACATACGTGTTAATTAAAAACATTTAATATTACATCATAAAAAACATATAAAACCAATTAAAACTATAATAATCAATGTGTTCCAGTTCAACTCCTTATCCATTTACATCGTTTGAGCCGTTCCATGTTAATTATTTCATCATACTGTGTTTATCTGGTTACGCTGTGTTTCCAAAAGCTTGCTCAAAGAGCCAAGTTTTTACTCTTTTCCGAAATGTCAGGAGGGAGGAGGCCGATCTAATATCCCCAGGAAGGGAGTTCCACAGCCGAGGGGCCACCACTGAGAAGGCACTGTCTTCTATAATTATACTATTATTAATATTTATTTACGACATTCATATGCTGCCCTTCTCACCCCGAAGGGGACTCAGAGCAACTTACAAGTAATATGTAAATAGAATATATTATTACCATAACCAAGCTTTCGGGTCAGGGTAATAAAGCGGCAAGAGGAAAGATGACCAGGCCAATGATTTGATGCGGATGACTAGAACGGTTTTAAATTGTGTATTTTAATATTTTGATAAATTTTTTTTAATGTTTATGTATTGTATGTGAATCTGTGTCCTGGCATTGAATGTTTGCCGTGTATATGCTGTGCTCCGCCCTGAGTCTCCTTCGGGGTGAGAAGGGCGGAATATAAATGTTTTAAATAAATAAATAAATAAATAATAACACAAGATTAATATTATATATTACTATATTGTACTATACCGTTATACTGTAATATTATTAGTAATATTACATGTAATATAAAATATATAATTATAATATATAACTTAGTATTATATTGTATTACATTATACTATTATAAATTATACTGTTATATATATTATATATTAAATTATACTATTATATATATTATAGTCTGTCTATGTATGTCGAGTGGGTGAAGGTGGTGGTTAATGCCTCCCTTCGGGAGGGCAAAATTCCAGCCAGCTTAAAGCAAGCTGTGATAAAACCGCTGTTGAAGAAACCATCACTGGACCCCACTCAATTCGTCAACTATCGGCCTGTTTCCAATCTCCCCTTTTTGGGCAAAGTCATGGAACGTGTGGTGGCCTCACAACTCCAGGCATTCTTGGTAGACACGGATTATCTGGATCCGGCACAGTCTGTCTTTAGGCCGGGGCATGGTACCGAGACAGCTTTGGTCGCCTTAGTGGATGATCTGCGTCGGGAGCTCGACAGGGGGAGTGTGTCCCTGTTGGTGCTGCTCGACCTCTCAGCGGCCTTCGATACCGTCGACCACGGTATCCTTCTGGGACGCCTCGCGGGGATGGGTCTTGGAGGTACTGTTCTGCAGTGGCTCCGCTCATTCCTCGAGGGTCGATCTCAGATGGTGTTAGTGGGAGACTCCTGTTCAACCCCACAACCTTTGTCTTGTGGGGTTCCTCAGGGTTCAATACTGTCTCCCATGTTGTTTAACATCTACATGAAGCCGCTGGGCGAGATCATCCGGAGTTTCGGAGTGAGATGTCATCTGTAAGCAGATGATGTCCAACTCTGTCACTCCTTTCCACCTGCTACTAAGGAGGCTGTCGAGGTCCTGAACCGGTGCTTGGCCGCTGTGACGGTCTGGATGGGGGCGAACAAATTGAAATTGAATCCAGACAAGACAGAGGTACTCCTGGTTAGTCGTAAGACCGAACAGGGTATAGGATTACAGCCTGTGTTAGACGGGGTCGCACTCCCCCTGAAGACACAGGTTCGCAGTTTGGGTGTGATCCTGGACTCATCGCTGAGCCTGGAACCCCAGGTTTCGGCGGTGACCAGGGGAGCATTCGCACAGTTAAAACTTGTGCGCCAACTGCGACCGTTACATCCCGCCTTGACTACTGCAACGCTCTCTACGTGGGGTTGCCTTTGAAGACAGCCCGGAAGCTCCAATTAGTCCAACGGGCGGCAGCCATGATACTAACAGGAGCGGGGCGCAGGGAGCACACAACTCCTCTGCTGCACCAGCTCCACTGGCTGCCGATATGCTACCGGGCTCAATTCAAAGTGCTGGCGTTGGCCTTTAAAGCCCTAAACGGTTCTGGCCCAACTTATCTATCCGAACGTATCTCAGCCTATCAGCCCACCAGGACCCTAAGGTCTTCTGGGGAGTCCCTGCTCTCTATCCCGCCGGCTTCACACGTGCGGCTGGCGGGAACGAGAGACAGGGCCTTTTCTGTGGTGGCCCCTCGGCTTTGGAACACCCTCCCCCTAGAGGTACGCTGTGGTGGCCCCTCGGCTTTGGAACACCCTCCCCATAGAGGTACGATCAGCCCCATCGCTGATGGTGTTTCGGAAAAGATTGAAGACATGGATGTTTAAACAAGCATTCGGTTAATCCGTTGCAACGAATTTTGATGACTAAAGGATGGGTAATCATGGACGACGAATTTTGGATTGCGATTTCAGTTACGAGATGCATGGGATTGTTATTGGTGGCCCAATAACTTGTATTGTATATGTGTTTTATGCTTTTAAATTGAATATTGTTTTTTAACTGTTGTAAACCGCAATGAGTCGCCGATTTAGGCTGAGATATTAGCGGTATACAAGCGCATTAATAAATAAATAAGATATCTTTAACACTACAGTTTTATGGCAATAGTATTCACATCTGAATCCCCTGGCGGCCAGAAAAAGTTAAATAGCTTCTGTGTATGTCTCTATATGTTGTATGTCAAAATTGGCAATGAATGTTTGCCATATATGTGTACACTGTAATCCGCCCTGAGTCCCCTGCAGGGTGAGAAGGGCGGAATATAAATGCTGTAAATAAATAAATAAATGTGTCCAGAGGAGGGTGACTAAAATGATCAAAAGGACAAGAGGGATCCTCTCACCTCTGCAGGAGTCTACCGTGTACCATGCAGCTGTGGACAAGTCTACATAGGGACCACCAAACGCAGCAGCATTGCCCAGACACGAATCAAGGAACATGAAAGGCACTGCAGACTACTTCAACCAGAGAAGTCAGCCATAGCAGAGCACCTGATGAACCAACCTGGACACAGCATTTTATTTGAGAACACAGAAATGCTGGACCACACCAACAACCACCATGTCAGGCTACACAGAGAAGCCCATTGAAATCCACAAGCATGTGGACAATTTCAACAGAAAGGAAGAGACCATGAAAATGAACAAAATCTGGCTACCAGTATTAAAAAACTCCAAAATTACAACAGCAAAACAGCAGAGAGGAAACAACCAGGCACATCTTAACACCTCTCAACAAAAGATTTTCCCAGGCTCAGCCAGGCCTTCAAATGCTAATGAAGGTGGTCAGTTGAAACATTCACACCTAGCTCAGCAAGGAAGAGCTCTTTGCCCCACCCCAGCCACTCCACAGATATATAAACCCATTGTCCTATTTCCAACAGACCTCACTACCTCTGATCTTCTCCACAAGGAGAAGATCAGAAAACTCCTGGACCCTACTATATACAAAAAACTTAAGCAAGACCCAACTTCCAAAATAACCAGGAAAACCAACACTCTGATTAAGAACTCCTCAATCAACTTTGACATACGACAACAGCTATGTAAATCGGAAGCCCTTCCACCCAGGCTTTATGGACTCCCAAAAATCCATAAGGACTCCACCCCACTCAGACCCATCGTGAGTGCCATTGGATCCCCCACATACGACCTAGCAAAATTTCTTGCTGCACAGTTACAAAGCCATATTGGGCTCACTACACACTACATCAAGGACTCAGCCCACTTCATAGAAAAAATCAGCAATCTCAAGCTAAATACGAACGACAAACTGATCAGCTTCGATGTGGTATCTCTATTTACCATGGTCCCGGTAGCAGACACCATGGCACTCATCAACCAGAGGTTCCCAGAAGACATCACGGCTCTGTTTCACCATTGCCTTACCACCAGTTACTTTCAGTGGGACAATGAATTCTACGAACAGAAAGATGGAGTAGCTATGGGGAGCCCTCTCAGCCCGGTCATAGCTAACTTCTACATGGAACACTTTGAAGAACAAGCCCTGGAAACAGCAACCAAAAAGCCCACGATATGGTTCAGATATGTGGATGACACCTTCACCATTTGGAGCCATGGAGAAGAAGAACTCAACAGGTTCCTGGACCATCTGAACAGCATCCACCCAAACATCCAGTTCACCATGGAAAAAGAAAATGAAGGAAGACTGCCTTTTCTCGATGTCCTACCCTAACATCCAGTTCACTATGGAAAAAGAAAATGAAGGAAGACTGCCTTTTCTAGATGTCCTAGTCATCCGCAAACCAGATCCACAATTGGGTCACACCGTTTACAGAAAACCCACACACACAGATAGATATCTACATCAAAACTCCAACCATCACCCAAGTCAAAAAAGAAGCACCATTAAAGCCTTGGCAGACCGTGCAAAAAGAATCTGCAAACCCCACCTCCTCCAAGATGAACTGAACCACCTCAACTGGGCTCTACAGGCCAATGGATACTCCACCTCAGACATCAGAAGAGCTGCAAGACCGAGAACAAGCCACAAGAGTAAAGATGAAGATCCACCCAGAGGAAAAGTGTTCTTGCCATACATCAAGGGAACCACTGACCGCAGAGGGAAGCTGATGAGGAACCACAACATACAAACTATCTACAGACCCACCAAGAAAATCCAACAAATGCTTTGTTCAGCAAAGGACAAGAGGGATCCTCTCACCTCTGCAGGAGTCTACTGTAGACCATGCAGCTGTGGACAAGTCTACAGAGGGACGACAAGCCTACATAGGGACCACCAAACGCAGCGCCCAGACACGCATCAAGGAACATGAAAGGCACTGCAGACTATTCCAACCAGAGAAATCAGCCATAGCAGAGCACCTGATGAACCAACCTGGACACAGCATATTATTTGAGAACACAGAAATGCTGGACCACTCTCACAACCCCTATGTCAGACTACACAGAGAAGCCATTGAAATCCACAAGCATGTGGACAATTTCAACAGAAAGGAGGAAACCATGAAAATGAACAAAATCTGGCTACCAGTATTAAAAAACTCTAAAATTACAACAGCAAAACAGCAGAGAGGAAACAACCAGGCACATCTTAACACCTCTCAACAGAGATTTTCCCAGGCTCAGGCAGGCCTTCAAATGCTAATGAAGGTGGTCAGCTGAAACATTCACACCTAGCTCCAGCAGAGAAAAGCTCTTTGCCCCACCCTGGTCATTCCACAGATATATAAACCCATTGTCCTAATTCCAACAGACCTCACTACTTCTGAGGATGCTTGCCATAGATGCAGGCGAAACGTCAGGAGAAATGCCTCTAGAACATGGCCATATAGCCCGAAAAAACCCACAAGAATCTATTTATTTATTTGTTTGTTTGTTTGTTTATTTATCTATCTATTATTTATTTATTTATCTATCTATTATTTATTTATTTATTTATTTATTTATTTATTTATCTATTATTTATCTATTTATTGATTGATTGATTGTCCTCAAAAAACCTGGAAGGAAACTCTTTCCTTGATTGCTATATGGGCTAATAAACCAACCAGGAGTGCTGAGGCGCTGCAGTGCCTGCTGGAGGCGCGAGGGGTCGCTGCGGCCTTCCGCTCTGCAGCCTTTTAGAGGGAGAGTCTAGCCTCGCTCCTTGGCTCTCCCGTCACCCCTTGCGCGCCTCCCCTCTTCCTTTTCCTTTCAGCCATTGGCGTTGGCGGCAGAGCTGCGGATATGGTGAGTGAATCCGCGGCCATCCTCCCGCGGGGCTGGTTCCCCGCAGACCGGGATCGGTTTTCGGCCTTCGTGGGGCTTTCCACGAGAGGGGTGGCGGGGAATTGTGGGGCGGGGGGCGCCCCACGAGTGGGTCCAAGCCCCCCAGTTAATACTCCAGGTCCTGGCTTCAAGGGCCCTCCTTCATAGCGTTGGATCCATTGCTCTGGCCTAATGCTAATCCTGGGAGTTGTGGTTTCACAAGGCCTGGGGCCTTTTACTGCCAACAAGGCTGGTGCCCCACCAAACTACACATCCCAGGCTCCCAGGGCATAGAGCCGTGGCGATGGGTCTCAAACCGCATCCATTCTGCAGTGTAGATGGATAGAATCGCATGACCATTGTACTGTAATGTACTAATAGGAATATATACAATATCTCTCTGAGACCCTCGCCAATGACTAATCAAGACCAAACTTGGCACAGGGAGCCCCAATGACCCACTCTACATCCTGGTGCAGCCCACAACCCACTCTACATCCTGGTGCACTCTTTGGAGGAGGACAGACCATGGATGATGGGACTTCAGTACCTCCACTCCCTTCCCAAGACTGCTGCAACCCTCATCTAATGACCAATCATGACCAAACTTGGCACACAGAGCCCCCATGACCCACTCTCCATCCCGGTGCTGTTTGGAGGGGGACGGATGATGGGTGATGGGACTTGCAGTACCTTTACTCACTTACTGAAACCACTGCGACTTTGAACCAATGACTGATCAAGACCAAACTTAGCACACAGAGCCCCCATGACCCATTCTACATCCTGCTGCAGTTTGAAGGAGGATGGATTTTGGATGATGGGACTTGCAGTACCTTCACTCACTTACTGAAACCACTGCGACCCTAATCCAATGACTGATCAAGACCAAACTTAATACACAGAGCCCCCATGACCCACTCTACATCCTGCTGCAGTTTTGGAGGAGGGTTGACCATGGATGATGGGACTTGCAGTACCTTCACTCACTTACTGAAACCACTGCCACCCTCATCCAATGACTGATAAAGACCAAACTTGGCACACAGAGCCCCCATGACCCACTCTACATCCTGCTGCAGTTTGAAGGAGGATGGACCATGGATGATGGGACTTGCAGTACCTTCACTCACTTACTGAAACCACTGCGACCCTCAACCAATGACTGATCAAGACCAAACTTGGCACACAGAGCCCCCATGACCCTATCTACATCCTGTTTCAGTTTGGAGGAGGGTGGATCATGGATGATGGGACTTGCAGTACCTTTACTCACTTACTGAAACCACTGCGACCCTAATCCAATGACTGATCAAGACCAAACTTAGCACACAGAGCCCCCATGACCCACTCTATATCCTGCTGCTGTTTGGAGGAGGATGGCCCATGGATGATGGGACTTCAAGTACCTTCACTCACTTCCTGAAAATAATGCTGCCATTATCCAAAGACCAATAAAGACCAAACTTGGCATACAGAACCGCCATTACCCACTTTCTCTAATAACCCGGGCAATGCCGGGTCCCCAAGCTAGTATAAATAAAAATGTAATGTTCGTTTGTGGATTGACATAACTCAAAAACCACTGGATGAATGGACACAAAATTTGGACACAAGACACCTCTCAGGCCAACGAGTGACCGCCACTCATAAAAATACTGAAAAATACAGGAGAAAAAACTTTTAAGAGCCCCCCAAAAATATAAAAAATACATTACAACGCATGCACAAAACCACACACAAACACACATATACGCAAACACACATATACACAAATATATACACACAGAGAGCACATATACACACTGGCCCACAGCAACGCGTGGCAGGGGACAGCTAGTCTTATATATAATAATCTTAATGTGCTATGCTAATTATATATATATGTAATATATTGATATATAATATATCAATTGACATATAATATATGTTATAACATATTCTTGTGTGTGTGTGTATATATATATATATATATAATGTATGTATTTGTGTGTGTGTGTGTGTGTGTGTATATATATATATATATATATATATATTATAATATGTATTATAGAATATAATAAATAAATTGATATATAATAATATAATATATTGATCAGAGCCTCCAGTGGCACAGTGGGTTAAACCGCTGAGCTGCCAAGCTTGTTGACCAAAAGGTCACAGGTTCAAATTCTGGGAGTGGCGTGAGCTTCCGCTGTCAGCCCCAGCTTCTGCCAACCTAGCAGTTCGAAAACATGCAAATGCGAATAGATCAATAGGTACTGCTCCGGTGGGAAGGTAAGGGTGCATCATGCTGGCAGCATGACCCTGGAGGTGTCTATGGACAACGCCGGCTCTTCAGCTTGGAAATGTAGATGAGCACCACACCCCAGAGTCGGACACGACTGGACTTCATGTCAGGGGCAAACCTTTACCTATTGATATATAATAACTTATCTATTGATATAGTATATAAATTATAATATGTCTATATAAATAAAAATGTAGTATTCATTTGTGGGACTAACATAACATAACAAATTGACCCCAAATTTGGACTCAAGACACCTCCCAGGCCAACGAGTGACCATCACTCATAAAAACATTGAAAAACACAACAGAAGAGTCTTAAAAAGCCAAAAACCCCCTCCCTCCCCTCTCTCTCTCTCTCTCTCTCTCTATATATATATATATATATATATATATATATTACGACACATGCTCAAAACCACATATGTACACAAACACACATATATGCACATATAAAGATATATACACACACAAAGCATATATACACAGTCTGGGCCACAGCAACGCGTGGCAGAGGATGGCTAATAATAATAATAATAGACTCCTAGAGTTCAAAGGGACCCCAAGCGTCATCTAGTCTATTTAAATAAAATGTAATGTTTGTTTGTGGTGTTAACATAACTCAAAAACCACTGGACGAATTGACACCAAATTTGGACATAAGGACACCTCTCACCTTTATGAGTGACCATCACTCATAAAAACACTGGAAAACACAACTGAAGGGACTTAAAAAGCCAAGAAACAAAAATTACATTACAATGCATGCACAAATCCATACACACACACAAAACACATATACACAGGCTGGGCCACAGCAACGCGTGGCAGGGGATGGCTAGTATTATAATATATCTATATAAATAAAAATGTAATGTTCGTTTGTGGGATTAACATTACTCAAAAACCAATGGACAAATTGACACCAAATGTGGACAGAATACACTTTTCAGGCCAATGAGTGATCATCACTCATAAAAACACTGAAAAACACAGCAGAAGAGACTTTAAAAGCCCTCCCCCCCCAAATACATTACAGCGCATTCACAAAACCACACAAGCACACATATATACACATATACACAAAAATATATACAATCACATTTGTACTTTTAATGATAGTCTAATAAATCCCACAATTGACAAGAATCCCCCAGTGGTGTAGTGGGTTAAAGCACTGAGCTGCTGAACTTGCTGACCGAAAGGTCACAGGTTCAAATCCGGAGAATGGCATGAGCTTCTGCTGTCAGCCCCTGCTTCTGCCAACCTAGCAGTTCAAAAACATGCAAATGTGAGTAGATCAATAGCTCCAGCGGGAAGCAGAACGCCGGCTCTTCAGCTTAGAAATGGAGATGAGCGCCAGTCTTAATGACTTAATGCCAGGGGAAAACCATAACCGTTCTAATATATGTAATATTAATAATAATGTTGTAATGTAATATATATCCTACAACTTATGATATAGTACAACATATTATATAATACTAATAGTATAATATACTGCTAGTTATTCTATATTATGGTATAAAAATACAATACAATATATAATAATATAATTGTATTTTGTATATTACATGTAATATTACTAATATGTAGCAGTATAGTTTTATAGTATAATATAGTAATGTATAATACTAATATTGTGCTATGCTAATAATACATATATATATACACAAATATACAATGTTAATAATAATATATTGTAATACAATATAATTCTGCAAATAATACTGTATTATAATTATTATATTAAGAAAGACCTCCTTGTTGTCATCCGTCACCCACTTTTCAAATAATAAGCATGGGAGGCCTTCTGTCGACAATAAAGCAAAATAATTCACAATGGTTTTGGCTGTATTTTGTTTGAATTCTTGCTGCAATTCAACACCAGCCAATATGGCCATAGACTTCCTAGCGTACTTTTTTAAGGAGGAGTTTCCCAATGTTAAACTGGATTAATGGTAATGCTGGCTTCCAAACGTGTGCCTTTTCTTGCTCTCCAGTCGTCCCACAAGACGTTCAAGATCAAGCGCTTCCTGGCTAAGAAGCAGAAGCAGAACCGGCCAATTCCCCAATGGATCCGGATGAAAACTGGCAATAAGATCAGGTAAAGGCACTGCTTCGTGTGGCAAAGGTTGGATATTATTGGCTTCAAGGAGGAATCAACGTCGGCATCCAGAGTCAGATAATGGGGATGCTATAATACAAGTTCCATGTTTTCTAAGTGCAGGAAATCAAGCCATGCCTTTTAGAAAGCGGTGTTGAATTTCATACCTTGGCAATTCAGTTTGGAGAGCCAGAATGATATTTCCCTAGATGTACTCCATCGTGTCACTGTTTGCTGTCTGATCTGTGTGTAAACATCCTGAGTTTGAAGGCCTTTCCTTCAAAGTATTTCTTTCAAAGAGAAAATAATGCTTTCCCCAGATTGTTGTATGCATCTTCTCATCTGCACCCGGTTATCTCCCTTTCTGAAAATGCTGTTAGTCTCCTTTGAGAAACCTTTCTTCCCCATATTCTTCCACTAGCAAAGTCTCGTGATTAAGTTCTCCATTCCCAAAGCAGGCTGCAATTGCAGTGCTTCCTTCCGTGGGAGCCCTGCCATGTCCCTGCTGAGAGTAAACAACGCTGTTCCTTGGGATTCAGTCTCGCCTCTTTCCTGGCGAAACTCATCTCCTTTGAGCAGTGACAAGCTTTGTGGGAAACACTGACTGTGAATTTCAAGGTTGTGAAATGTCTTGTTTGGTTTTTTTCTTTGAGGGGGGGAGCACATCTTTGATTCCCTTTCCATCCTGATGAAAGTGTATCCTTTCCATTTACATCCCTTTTATTGTGGTGGAAAGATCATGGAAACTTCTTTGAGAGAGAGCAGAAAGTAGATTGTGAGGTTGTGTCGTTAAATAAAGGCTCAAACATTACAATATTTAATGCATGGCCGGAATCACTGGGTTGTTGTGAGTTTTCCGGGCTGGATGGTGATGTTCCCAAAGCATTCTCTCCTGACTTCTCTTCTGCATCTATGGCAGACATCATCTGCTACCAGTACTAAAAAAAACCTCTAAAATCATAACATTAAATAAAGAACAATACTAAAAAGGGAATTCCAGACAAGAAACAATCAGGGCCAGCTAATCATCTCCCAACAAAGGATTCCCCCAGGCAATAAGAAGCCAGACCTTGAAACTGCTAGGCCATTAAATGCTAATTAAGGTGGCCAATTGAAACATTCACACCTAACTCAAATATACAAGAGTTCTTTCTCTCACCCTGGACATCATTCCAAAGATATATTATATAAACCCAATTTTCCTAGTTTCCAACAGATCTCTTAGGATGCCTGCCATAGATGCAGGTGAAATGTCAGGAGAGAATGCTTCGGGAACATAGACATACAGTCCGGAAAACTCAAACCATCCATTACAGTATTTGCGTAGCAGAGAATCTTATCACATACATCATATTTTAGTTTGCCGTCCCTGAGTTTTCACCATCAGATAATACTTTCTAGAAGTGCCATTAAAACTTAATTAAGACCTCTGTTGATTAAATGTTAATCAGTGTGGTAATATTTAATTCATTGGGGCAGTTTTCTGGATCAGACTGATGAACCTCCTTTTCCAGAGGACATAAGGAACAAATAAATGAAATGTCTTGTTGAGTACAGGCCGTCCCTGAGTTACAAACAACCAACTTACAAATGACTTGTAGTTAAGTATGGGGCTAAAACAGCAAGAAGTGAGAGACATCTACCTTTAAGTAAAATCCATTCCTAGGATAGTCATTATCATGGAGATAAGGAGTCTGCATTGAAGCTTTATTCCCAATCCTTGTCTCCACAACTTTCCCAAAATCCAATGTACACAGGGACAGAAAGTGAGGGAAAATCTGAACAGGGGCACAGGCAGCAACACAACCACCACAGGAGTGTTCACCCTTCCCTGTACTATCCAAAGCATGTGTATGTATGTGCTGGAGTTTCACTTTAAATATGTCCCTGTCTCAATTTACAAACAAATTCAACTGAAGAGGAAAAATACAGAACCAGTCTTGTTTACAACTTGGGGACTGACTGTAATACCTTTTAGTTACTGGAAATCTTACAGCCCGCTCTGGTAACTCAATATCAAGGTTTGGAGATGCACAGAAGTGTTTGCAAGCAGACCTCTAAAAGTGGTAGTAACCACAGAAGACCTTAGTAACTCCTGTAGATTTTAATAACCAAAAATGTCCATAATCAATATTATAATGTAATGCAATATACTACTACTAATAATAATGATGATAATTTTTTTTTTTGGTCGTGTCAGGAGCGACTTGCAAGTCGCTTCTGGTGTGAGAGAATTGGCCGTCTGCAAGGACATTGCCCAGGGGATGCCTGGATGATTTGATTTTTTTTATCATCCTTGTGGGAGGCTTCTCTCATGTCCCCGCACGAGGAGCTGGAGCTGATAGAGGGAGCTCATCTGCCTCTCTCCGGATTTGTACCTGCGACCTGTCGGTCTTCAGTCCTGCCGGCACAGGGGTTTAATCCACTGCGCCACCGGGGGATCCAATAATGATGATAATATATTATAATTATATATTTATATTGCCTGCAATATTCCTAATATTATTGCAATATACAATATAATAATAATTAATACTAATACTGTACTATATATCTTGTAAGCCGCTCTGAGTCCCCTTTGAGGTGAAAAGGGTGGCATATAAATGTAACTATTATTATTATTTATCCCCCCCCCC